ATTACATAGAAAAACCTGGAAACCCCAGTCTGAGTCTCTCCTACCTATTCTTTGAAAATGACTCATGTATAGAATCATTTCTCTTCAATATTTTCATAGGTTAGAATGTTTTCACACATTAACAAAAATTCACCGTATTTATATACAAATAGGGAAAGGATCTTTTTTTTTTAGAATTTTTTTTTTTTTTGAGACAGAGTCTCATTTTGTTGCCCAGGTTAGAGTGAGTGCCGTGGCGTCAGCCTAGCTCACAGCAACCTCAAACTCCTGGGCTCAAGCAATCCTGCTGCCTCAACCTCCTGAGTAGCTGGGACTACAGGCATGCATCACCAGTTCAGTTCATTTTTTGTATATATATTTTTAGTTGGCCAATTAATTTCTTTCTATTTTTAGTAGAGACAGGGTCTTGCTCAGGGTGGTCTCGAACTCCTGACCTCGAGCAATCCGCCTGTCTCGGCCTCCCAGAGTGCTAGGATTACAGGCGTGAGCCACTGCGCCCGGCTGGGAAAGGATCTTATTATCTTTGGTTTTTTCTCTCTGCCAACTCTTTTAGCTACCAAAATGACAATAAGCACCTATAGGTTAAAATCAAGGGTAGAAGAAGGTAAGGTCTATTGACATTAATCCCCCTAAGTATCAGAAAGTTTTACCTTGTTATACTGAGTTTGTATACACTAAGTTCTTCTATCGAAAAAAGATACATAGTCATTACCGGTCAATGGCTAATCAAGGTTGTAACATTCCCTGACATAATTATAATTATGATAATTATATCATACATAATGAGTCATTAAAAGACACATCTAGCCAGGTACAGTGGCTCACACCTTTGATCTTAGCACTGTAGGAGGCCAAGGCAAGAAGATTGCTTGAGGCCAGGAGTTTGAGACCAGCCTGAGCAACAGAGCGAGACCTCATCTCTACAAAAAATTTTTAAAAATTAGCCAGGCATAGTCTCAGCTACTTAGAAGGTTGTACAAGGAGGATCATTTGAGCCCAGGAGTTTGAGATTGCAGTGATCAATGACCACACCATTGCACTCTAGCCCAGGCAACAAAGCAAGAACTTGACTCAAAAAATAATATAAAATTTAAAAAGACAAATAATTTTGTGATATTATGAGGCTGATACAATTCTTCATCGAACTTCAACATTCACATTTGGTCTACCATGTTGGCTCTCACTCTTACCTAACAAAATCATCTTTTAAGCAAGTTTCTAATACTTAGAAAATATAAAAATGAAATGATACTGCTGAAAGGATAAAATCAGAAAAATTCTCTTTCTTGAATGGTTCACTCAAATAGAAGAAAACCCAAATACCAAATCTGAAAAATTCTATACATGCTCCAAAAATAATTAATGTAAAACAGTAACTTACACATATTATGCGTGCTCTGTTATGTTATTTCCATAACATCAATGTGTAAGACATAAATAATTTCAATATGTTGAACTCAAAAAAAACTTTACATGTGGCTTATCAATCTTATTAAACAAACTCAATGTAACAACCATTAAGTGTCATCAATCACATAGCGGCACACCATTTGCCACTGACTAACATCTACTCCTTATCAATGCTATAGTTGAGGTAAAGGCATATCTTTCCAATAAATAGCTAGAACAACAAACTACTACTACTCTCCCACTACAAATTCACCAGCAATCGCTTATTATTTGATCATTCCCTGATATACTACAGAGTCTCAACTCCCTGATGGAGCATCCATGTGAAAATCTAACTTTCATGTACGGTGAGTCTTTCCTGGGACCCTGATGATCGTCATAATCTTATCTAAATAAAAACTAGCAAGTTCCAATCACAGGGCATACCACGGTAGCGCATCACATCCCATTCACATAAATTCCAGTAGTCAGGAGGCTTCGCAGAGGCGGATGAATCTCTTGAGCCCATGGCCTAAAACTATGAGAACAAGCCAGCAGTGATGCTTCCTCCACACTACCACCTCCACCCGCTAGTATCTACTCCAATTCCACACATCTGTACGCGCCGACAAAAAGCAATCGATTCTCCACTCTGTTTCTCTAAATAACACAACAAGCAAAAGGCTACATTCCCACATGGAGGGGTGCAGGAATAATTGACAGAACATAAAACTGTGGCTGCTCTTTCTGCATCTGCTGTGATCACTAAGGTGGCATGCTGCCCCATGTGTAAATGTCTCTCTCATTACTATCTTGGATTCTATAAGCACAATTCAAAACAAAAAGCCCCAGACTCCAGGTATGAACGACCAGGCGATTTTTCATTACAATAGCTATCAATTTAATGAAGGAAATAGGAAATATAACACAATATATATAAATGCATGAAGCATTCAAGTATCAAATAAACATTTAAACGGTTAAGTCTTGCACACAAAATCTTGATAGCCAATGCCATACTATCATCCTCCTCTCATAATCTGGGAAAATCCTAGTTAATTGCAGAAGCTGTCAAGTGGTTCACATTCTACGGTTAGGTTGCAAAGGTTCTGTAGCCAATGCCTAGAACAACTCGCTATTAGAAGCCTGAAATTTAAGGTATAATTATAAGCCTCCAAGTTAACTTCAGTTGTGCTTTGGCTTCCGTATAAAGGCCGAATCTCTTGAAGAGAAGAAATGAAAAGAAAAAGAAATCTTCAAAGGGACTCAAGAGGGAACAAAAGGCTTCACAGAGCCAACAACCATAAACAAAATATATCACTCTGTCAACCCTAACATAACATACTGCAGGGGATAACCTATGGACCCACCTAAACATATAAATATTCAACTGTAGCTCATCTGAAACATCTGAAATCAGGAGTATTTTAGAATTCAGATTTTTTTCTTTTCTACTTTTGGTAAAGTAATATAGTAATATATCATAAAGGAAGTGAAATCCCTACTTAAGGCTAGGGCAATTCCTCAAATCAAACACATTAGTATTTTCCACAAGAAAATCAATGAATAGTCACACTACAAGGGATAAAAAGACTAAATGACTTCACCTCAGTTCCCATGAGCCTCTTCTGGCCAAATGAGTCTTTCTCCAATTCATGAAGAAAAAAGACTTTCAGTTTTCAGAGATAAATTGGATTTAGGAATTGTGATAAAGGATTATGGATTTATGCCACCAGTTTCCAGCATATCTTTGAATTATGTAGAAATGGGCCTGGTACCAATTGTGGAATTGCTTGATAGAAACTACAAAAGGGCCAGGCGACGTGGCTCATGCCTGTAATCCTAGCACTCTGGGAGGCCAAGGAGGGAGGATCGCTTGAGGTCAGGAGTTCCAGACCAGCCTGAGCAGGAGTGAGACCCCGTTTTTACTAAAAATAGAAAAATTAGCCAGGGTGTATGCCTGTAGTCCCAGCTACTCAGGAGGCTGAGGAAGGAGGATCGATTGAGCCCAGGAGTTTGAGGTTGCTGTGAGCTGGGCTGATGCCACGGCACTCTAGCCTGGGAAACAGAACAAGACTCTGTCTCAAAAAAAAAAAAAATTAAAAAGTGCAAAAGATCTGTAAAACCACAATAAACAATATTCTCTTTTAACAATTAGTATGATAGCGACATCATGCAGTCAAAATTTGGCTAAATAAGATGAACTAGTAAAACATCAAATTATGTGGGCTTATTTGGCAATAAGAACTTTGGAAATAAGTTCTTTGGAAAAAAGAACAAAAAGTGAGAATCCATATTTCCACATCCTGACTCACTGTGTTCCCCAGGCTGGCGTGCAGTGGCTGGTCACGTGCTCAATCATAATGTACTACAGCCTCGAATTCCTGGGCTCGCACTATCCTCCTGCCTCAGCCTGCCGAGTAGCAAGAACAACAGGTGCACATCACCACGCCTAGCTTCTGAGCTGAAGTTCTTGAAAATAACAAACATCCATTTCAGAATCACTTATAGAACCAGAGAACCATGATCCTGATTAATAAGTTAAGCAAAACCTTGCTTCTCTAATTCCCTGAGACTGCAAGACTTTCTATAACTCCTTTCTATTCGAATTCCATCTTCCGCAACAGAGGAAAAAAAAGTACTTGTCACATGTCTATTCTCTAGGAGTTATTCTGATGAGTTCTCAGGTCTGCAGAGAAAACACAGGCTTTCCAGGTAACATAAGGCCCTTGCGCATTTGAATAAAGATTCTCCTCCTACCTATTACTTTCTGTCAAAGTATCCGTTAATCTTGGCAGAGGGCATTACAACAGCCTGACGACCACATGAGGAGGTCAGTGAGTAAGACCCAGGTTTTTTCACTGTTTGCTGATGAAAAAAAGAAAGAAAAATAATAATAATAATAATATATATAATATATATATCACCCAGGCACCAGGTGATTTTCTATTTTAATTAACTCCCAGAGCCTTCCATCCTGTACCCTGAATTTAATTTTCAATGCCCCAGTGTGTCTCTGCCTTGTATCTCCACCTTTTACTCTCTTCCTCTGGCCTCACCAATAAGAACTTACTTAGTCCCACATCGCCCTCTTCTTGGTCACTGGGCGCTGGGTGGTGGCACAGGCGGCGGAGAAGGAGGCTCAAGTGGCTCAGGAGAATCAGAGGGGGTGGAAGCCAGGGCTTCTCGTGGTAGGTCATGATGTAGCGATAGCGGTTGTATTTCCACAGCTCGTTTGAGATGGATTTCAGATCCAAGTAAACGTTGCTGTAAGTTGTAGTAAGAGAGGGACAATATCTTAATATGAAATCTTGGAATATCATAGTTTCTTCATTTCCCGATTCTTAACGATTGGTTCCCCTGACATTGCCAACAATGAGCCCACAAAAATAATATCCACTGCATTTGCGATCCTTCTTCCACCAAACATAATACAGCAATCCACCTTTCACAATAAAACATGCTAATCAAGATAACAAGCAAAACGCAGAAATTACAATCAGAGAGAAGAAAAGGCAAATGTGTTCAATGTAATGAACAGAAACTGCCCTCTGGAACTCAACGCTATTCTTGGGTCACCATCGCTTCTCACATAAGAAGCTCATTTTCAGTCCACAATTCATCCTTCGTGGCAAACAGCTTTACCATTCCTCTTTATCATCAACCTTACAAAGATACCGTCCTACTGTCAAAAGCGAGAACTGCTAGAATAATCCTAGTTAAAACACCCAAACGAAACAGTATTAATGAAGAAGAAGAGAAAGGGAAGAAGAATCAATCCATCCTAAAATAAATCAATAAGCTGATCTTCTATTAGAAGACAGACAAATTATTTCAACTAACTTTACAGTAAAAGTAACTTCTTATTGGTAGGTCACTTTGGATTTTCCCTTTAACTATGTCAGTTATAATGTGCAGACGGTAGAGTGAATATTGATATTATAGCACTTACGCTAGAAGTAATGGTTGGGAGGAAAGTTATTCTAAAGCAAAACATCATCCTTAACTTCTTTGCTCAAGTATATAACATGATGTGGGGGTGGGCTGACACAATGGACCGTCCTCCTTAACGTTTTGCCTAACCTTACAAAACATTTAGCTTCTTTAGAGAAAGGTGGCAGAGTAGACCTGGAGGACAGTATCCAAGTGTCGCAAACGAAAACACAGGCAACCCTGAACCTGAGCAGTGATAAAAAAGAACCAGAAACATCCTGGAGAGACCGAGCTCAGGGTAAGAACAGGAGGGATGTTTCACAGAATCCATGCAGAAGGTGATGATGGAAACATAGATGACTGGGTCAGAACAGTAGTTCTCAAAGTGGGGTCTCCCCACCAGCACCCTCGGGGTAACCTGAGAACATGTCAGAAATGCACATTCCTGGGCCCTGTGGAGGAAACTACTGAATGAGAAACTCTAGCGGTGGGACATTCTAGCACAATTGCGTTTCAGCAAGCCCTCCAGCTGTGTCGCGCCAAACATGAGTGCACCTTCCGCCAGCAGGTGGCGACCTTCCAGCGGCAGGTGGATTGCAGGTTCTTTCTAACTATTGGTGTGAAGAATTCTGTCTGCACGAGGCTCCTGGAAAAGTAGCCAGATCTGGGGCTGCTCAACTTGTTTGGTCCACAATGTGTTCATCTCCGAAGCGAGAAGACTGGTCTATATGGGGATTTCTCAACCCCTCTTTTGATACTGGACGTTTTTGAGCAGCAAAAATCTCACACCCTCTTATTATCCGACATATCACAAAACAGCTATAATAATTACATGCCTACAAATGGTATAAATTCCTAAAATGGTAGGGCTGAGAGAGATGAAAGCTATCTCATAATTCTTTTTTTTTGTTGCCCAGGCTAGAGTGAGTGCCATGGCATCAGCCTAGCTCACAGCAACCTCAATCTTCTGGGCTCAAGCAATCCTGCTGCCTCAGTCTCCCTAGTAGCTGGGACTACAGGCATGCACCACCATGCCCAGCTAATTACACACACACACACACACACACGCACACACATACACACACACATATATATATATATATATATTAGTTGGCCAATTAATTTCTTTCTATTTATAGTAGAGATGTCTGCTCTTGCTCAGGCTGGTTTCAAACTCCTGACCTCAAGCAATCCGCCGGCCTCGGCCTCTGGCCTCCCAGAGTGCTAGGATTACAGGTGTAAGCCACCGCACCCGGCCTATCTCATAATTCTGTAACAAGAAGGAAGATATAACCTCCCCCTATACATGGAACAAGTCACGTTTTTTAAGTATTCTATTTTGACTAACCTTCCATCCCCTACCTTCTCTACTTTCTTTACTTAGATTCTATAAATTAAATTTCCCTTTTCTTACCTTTCTGTCTTCAGTGAGATAATCAACAAATAAAACACCTGGCACAGTGCCTGGCATATAAAAGTCACTCAGAAAATACAAAATTTTTCTCATCCACCTCACTTGGTTTCTTTCATTTATTAAACAATTATGTGCCAGGCACTCTTTGCAGTGTTTGGGATGAATTCATGAGCAAAAAAGGCAAAAATACTTGCCCTTGTGGAGCTTATATTCCAGTAGAGGAGCCATATAACAGAAAAACCTAATACATAAATCAATTATAAAATATATTTGCATCTGTAATATAAATAGATATAAAAAGAGAAGATTAAGCAGCATGAGGCATGCCAAGAAGATGGCAGAAGAAAGGGGGCTGCACTTTTAACTATAATGCTTAGGCTAGACCTAATCAAAAAGGGACCATTGGACAAGCCTGAAGGGGAAGGAATGAGGGACAGTGGTATCTGGTGGAAGAGCACTCTAGGCAGAGGAAACAGCAAGTGCAAACACAACAGGATTGTCTGAAAAACTGTGAGGGGCCAGTGTGGTTGGAGAGGAATGGATTAGGGGGAGGAGCAGCATGATGCATGATTTGAGAAGTCACAGGGATGCCAAATCACACAGGGCCATATAGGTCATAATAGGAATTTTGACTTTTACCCACAGGTAAATGGGGAGCTATTGAAGAGTTTGGAGCAGAGGAGTGGCATCATCTGATGTATGTTTCCAAAGGACCATTTGGGGCCAGGCATAGTGGCTCACGCCTATAATCCTAACACTTTGGGAAGCTTAGGCTGGAGGATCATTTGAGGCCAGGAGTTCAAGGCCAACCTGGGCAACCTAGTGAGACCCTTTCTCTGCAAGAAGATAAAAGAGTTAGCCAGGCATGGTGGTGCACACCTGTAGTCCCAGCTACTCGGAGGGCTAAGGCGGGAGGATGGCTTGAGCACAGGAGTTTAAGGCAGCAAGGGACTGTGATTGTGCCACTGCACTCCAGCCTGGGTGACAGAGTAAGACCATCTCTAAATAAATAAATGGTTGTTTGGGCTACTGTGTTGAGAACAGAGTATAGGGACTGAAGATAGAAGCAGAAAAATAAATTAGGAGGCTTTAGGGTAACAGTGGAGCAGTGAGAGGCGGTTGAATTGATGATCTATTTGAAGGTTGTGTCAAAAGGAGTTCCTGACAGTTTAGAAGTAGAGGCACAAGAGGAATTAAGAATGACTGCAAGGTTCTTGGTCTAAATAACTGAAAAGATGGAGCTTCAACAGAAACTCACGTGGAAGTGTATCTTAGGAAGGAGGAGAGATGAAGAGTTTGGACATTTTAGAAATCTATTACTGGTGATGGAAGGGGCCAGTTGGAGCTACGTGACTGGAGTTTAAGAAAGAGAGCCAGGCTGGAGATAGAAATGGGGACTGATCAGGATATAAGGGGAACTGAACAAGATCCTAAAAAAGCACAACTAAAGGAAGAGCAAGGTCTGGGCCAAAGGGAAAAATCAATGTTGAAAGGTTGGGGAGAAGAAGGTGATCCAGAAAAGGAGAATGAGAAGAAGTGAGATCAAAGACAACAGAGAATGAAGTATATTGGGAGCCAGCTGAAGAAAGCGGATCAAGAACTCTGTAGCTAACGTTCCACTCCATCAGCTGTTATACTTTCATGATTCTAACTGGCTGCTTAATTATAATTCAGGATCCCGTTTTGTTCTGTTTCTATTAGTATAAAAGTGCTTTCTCTCTATAGTCAGCTCTCCATATCCCTGGGTTCCACATCTGTGGATTCAACCAATCGCAAATCAAAAATAGTAGGGAAAAAAATGGATAGTGTGTCTGTACTGAACACATACAGACTTTTTTTTCTTGTCATTATTCTCTAAATAATACAGTATAACAACTATTTACATAGCATCTACATTGTATTAGGCATTATAAGTAATTGAGAGATGATTTAAAGTATACAGGAAGATGTGCACAGGTCACTTGCAAATACTACACCATCATATATTAATGTAAAGGACGTGAACATCCATGGATTTGGGCATCTTTGGGGGGGGGGGGTCCTGGAACCAATCCCCCGTGGGTACAGGTGGATGACTGAGTTTATTACTTCACTGCTTCCTATGCTCTTGCTTTCTTATTACCAACCGTTTCATGCCCATATCTTAAAACCGTAATTATAAAACATGAAACACACAAAAAAACAAAGGTTATGTACTCAAAATACATGTGAATCTACTCAACACGTCCGGCCCACCCCATGTTTTATGTAAATAAGATAATTATATTTAATTAAAGTAACCTACTTGAAGAAAGCAATCAGCAGGTTCACCATGATGATATATTGCACAAAGAGGTAGACAGCTTGCAGGAATGGAGTAAGAAAAGCTCCGGGTGGGCAAGACGGCTGGCTTTCACAAACTGCAAGGAAACAATTAGAATGGGGATAAGGTGAACCACAGTCCTAGGACTCTAGACAAACATTTAGCACGTTAACTGTGCAGAATACCACACATTGTACACATATTTAAAATTCAGATGATTGCTTTGCAGATTTCTTTTAATTACTCTGAGTATCTACAGAGATGGAATTTCTGCATGATGGCAAAATCCCCTACTCACCATCTATCTCTGCAGCATAGACTTCTCCATATATCATCCAGTATGGCTCAAATACAATATCTCGGGCTAGGCTCCAGGACGGCGCCTCCTTTGGCGACAGGATGGCCTTGCGCGCCACTCCGAAACTCAGCAGGACTATAGCCATCATGATCACAATGTAAAACATGTTTGCTGTCTGCAAAATAGCACACACAACGAGACTCTTACCACAGATCTGGAAGTCAAGACAAACTAAAAAGACCGTCTAGCTAGTCATTGAGTAAAACGCCCTGGTCCACGAATAGCTAGATTTCTTTGGCTAAACTATTTTGTTTTCTCTGCACAGCCTGTGTTTCAAGTGAATGTGGTCTATGGAATGACATAAATGTGCTGAGAGTAGAGAATCTATGCTTCTTTCTTTAAGTAGTAATGAAATGGGAACATCTTTTGATTAGCAAATATCCAACCTTTCCCCATTGGACCAGAGGTTAGGAAAGGAAAAACATGGTGCATTCAAATTAGTCCAGTGGCTGCTATTCTCGGAATTATCTTCAGAAATTGATTGGAGTGTGAAAAATTGTATAGTCAGTTGTATGCCATCTGCTAAATGTATATCAACTCAATGCATTTGTGCATTGTGGCAGAGAGAGTATGCACCAAAATTCCCAACTGTGTTCCAAGAGCTGCTCTTCATTTCTTAGCTTCTCTTCCACTAGGCTGGTGCCCCAAAACCTATTCTAGCCAATGGGCTGTGGCATGATTGTGGCTCTGGTCACTTCTTGTCCGGAGCAGTTAAAAGCCATTAGACTTTCTCCATCCTTCTCATTCCCTGACAGCAGAGACCTTGGAAGCCACATGTTGACATGGATGTGTCACAAGACCAAGGGATTCTAGATCCCTGAGTCACTGCATGGAGGACAGTCCCCATGGGCATTCATCAAACTGTGCATTAGGGAGAAATAACCTCATGCTAAGTCACTGAGCTATATTGGTTAACTCAATATAGCCTATCTAATAAATACTAATGTCACTAAGAGAAAACATTTCTTATCTAAGAGAAAAATGTAAAATAAGAAAAGTCTGTCTTTGGAGTCTTGAAGGTTCCCCCCATTTTGTCCTCTTCATTTGTTTCAGCACTATCTTGTATGCTCCAGAGCTTGCCCCTGCCCTGCAAGTGAGTGTTCCAGAAGGAAAAGCCAAAGATGATCTTCAGATATTATACTTCCTAGAGGACAGGTCAAAGGTCCATGTAAATAGCCAGATGGAAAAAGCTGACAGCAAGTTCAGATGGCAGCCTGGAGCCCAGTGACCCACTCTGGAATCCTTGCTGTCCACATATGCCCAGGAGGAATTCACTCAGCCTCCATTGCCTTGATGGAAGATGTGTATAATAACACTACCTATTTCACAACTAATATTTGCTACAAAGATTAAACAAGTTTATATATACAAAGTACTTAGAACTGTATGTGGCCTAGAGTAAGCACTATCTATTTAAGAGTGTGGTAGATCACTTGGGTGTGGTGGCACACACCTGTAATCTCAGCTATCTGGGAGTCTGGGGCAGGAGGATCACTTGAACCCAGGAGTTGGAGGCTGCAGTGAGCTATGATCTCACCACTGCGTTCCAGCCTGGGTGACAGAGCAAGAACCTGTCTCTGAGGGAAAGAAAAAAAAAAAAAATGTGTGGTGGAGAGAGAGAATGAGTGAGTAATTAAAGAATAAATCGATATTTTAGCAGAAAACATTATTGGTGGTAGCCTCCTACAAATCTGGCCCTCAGGAATTATTGTGCTCAGAGACAAATTTGACTAGATCCATGTCATCTGGCCCCAACCAAAGTATCCTGATCAATCCATGTGCTATCCAAGAACATTTGTTAAATACAGGTTTGTGATTATAAGGAAAGCAGTGATAAAATGATGCTGTTCTTTTTGCTTTTATAAATAATTCTGAAAGGTAAACTACTGGATACAAACCATGAAATTAGGTAGAATCATTAAAAAGAAGCCAGGCATAGTAGCACACACGTATAGTCCCAGCTACTTGGGATACTGAGGCAGTAGGATCACTTGAGCCCAGGAGTTAAAGTCCAGCCTGGGCAACATAGCAAGATCCTGTCTCTAAAAATTAAAGAAAAGAACACCAGGATATAAAACCAGATGTACTCACCATTTTTGCAATCATGGTCACATATGGACCTGCATGTTGGTTCACAGCAAAGAAATCCAGCAGGCGTGAGAACCAGAAAATGATGTCTATGCAGTAGATTAGTCTTCCTGCTGTGTGAAAAGGAGGATCACCCCACCGAAGACCGAAACCAACTGAAAATAGGCCAATTGCCACCGTTTCTATTAGGTTCCAGTATTCACTAATCCATACCTTCACCTTTTGAGTAAACTTCCCAGGTTCTGAAATACAGATCTAAAAGAAGAGAGAAAAACATGAAGAATGAGGTACAACCCAAGAATTCTATCAATACCCTCTTCCTGAATATATCAACCACTCATTTAAAGAGTAATCTGAATCCTGCCAAACCTTAAGTCACACCGAGAGTTTAGAGACTTAAGTTATCTGGGACTAGTCAAAGTAAGGCCGGGCGCGATGGCTCACGCCTGTAATCCTAGCACTCTGGGAGGCCAAGGCGGGCGGATTGCTCAAGGTCAGGAGTTTGAAACCAGCCTGAGCAAGAGCGAGACCCTGTCTCTACTATAAACAGAAAGAAATTAATGGGCCAACTAATATATATATAGAGAGAAAAAATTAGCTGGGCATGGTGGCACATGCCTATAGTCCCAGCTACTCAGGAGGCTGAGGCAGGAGGATTGCTTGAGCCCAGGAGTTTCTGTGGTAAAAAGAAAATTGAGGGGGGAAGGAAGGAAGGAAGGAAATAAGTTATCCATGGAAATGAATTATTTAAACAAATCTATAAAAATACCTTAAAAATACCTTAATGCCACTGTTAGTGCTAGACAATCACTTGAAAACACAACTAGAAGTCAAAAAAAAAAAAAAAAAGAAATATTTTTTCAAGCTTTCTATAATCCTAACTTAAAGTCTTGGTGAAACACCAAGACATTCAAAAACTCAAAATTATAATGGATTTATATGGCTACAATTCTATTTCATGAAGTGCAGCACAGTCTGAAGAACACTGGGTTGAAACCAAGAAACCCTGTAATCTAGTACTACTACTGCTACTTAGTGAGTTGTTGACTAACTACTAAGAATGTGATATTGGAACTCACTATTATAGGAAATTACCCCTGAAACATCATATAAGACAAACTGAAATATAAAACAGTAAACCTATTTTCCCTGAAGCATAAAAAATGGTATAATTTAGATAATGTTTCTCTCCTGAATTATTTTTTATAATCTTGTAAACTCCACATAATAATTTAGCAGGCAGTATAGGTATAATTACCAAGAATACATTTACCTAGTATATAATGTTGGTCATATAACCTCCAGGACAAAATAAACACATGTAAGTGCATGGACATATATATATTAACGTCCAAAACAGTCTCATAACTATTAATATTTGTGATTGCAGTTATAATTGTATATAAATGCTAATTTTCTTAAGTGATCCATTACAAACTAGAAATAAAAAATTTGCTTTGTTTTGTTTCTTGGATTACTTGCCCCAAAGGGATTTTCAAATTCAATTTTCAAAGGTGTTCAGTAGGATCTTTCAAAAGTGATAACTATCTCCCTTACATATCGCACAACTCCAGCCATTTATGTGCCACTCTGTGAGATGAAACTAATAATATAAGTAATGCTGAGCTATGAAAATCAATCCCACTCCCCCCCTCAAAAAATCAGAGAACTCAAATTCTTGGGGGATTTAATAACAAGTAGATGGCATCATCTACCATTCTAGGACTGGTAAACACACTAACACATCCACTTTGAAGATAACTGCTTCCAAAGTGGAGCAACCAGCAGAAAGCAGCTGACAAGGATAAAGGGTTAAAATTGGAGATTTTCCCCCCCCCCCCCCCAGATAACCTCCTTACAGCATGCAAATCAAGATCAGCATTTCCTGTTTTCCCCCACACCTGTGACATGCCCATTTTCACCACCAGGGCCAAGAACATCTCTAAGCAGAGGGGTGTAGAGGACAAATGTGCAAGGGACAACTCACCTCCCTGACTTTCTCAATGGCGTTGGTGAAGATGTAAATGATGACGAGCCACTCTTGCACACTGGGCTGGGACTGCATCTCCACCAGCACCGTGTAGGTGAACAGCATGAGGAAGGCCAAATATGCCATCTGTGAGGGGAACACACATTCCCTGGGCGTGAGTGACAGTGAGCATGGAGGATACCAAGCAGACGCAGACCCAGAAACTCGGGCATGAACTTCAACAGGATAATATGAACATAGAACCGGGACCACCTTCAGATTATTGAGCATCCAAGATCTAAAAAGGCACAAGAATCCACAGTTTTCTTTCTAGTCTAGGATTTAGTGGCAGACATGAAATCACTATTCTCAGATGCATGGAAGGAGACACCGTCTCTCTCATCCTATTGGCTGCTAACCCTGCACATTCCAGGACTGACGCTGTCAGGCTAACAGCAAGCCAACAAGGAATCACATGCCTTTCCCTCCATCTTAAACATAGAAAATATGTGTGCTAAGCATGCCGGATAAGCTACGCAGAGTCAGTATTTTTTTCAAATAGCATATTTTCAAATACAGTGAATTGTGATATTTACAACTGCTGGGAGTTTTATTTTATAATGTGTAGATTAAAATATGTTGACTAATAGAAAAATCTTGTCCAACTGTAAGCTCTTGTAATTAAGGACTGTTTATTAACGTTTTTATCTTCAGCACTCAGCATTCCACCTGATATGACAGGCATTCAATAAATGTTTGTTTAATTACTAACTGTGTATATTATACCTAGATTCCCAAACTCTTCAAAGAATTAAACATAATGAACACACACATTATGTTTAATAGTTTTGTAATCTTATCTAATGTTCTTATCTTCTTAAGATATATTTCTCAGAAGCAGAATAGCTGTGCACGCACGTTGAATACTGGGAAAAATATTACTAAATTACCCAACAGAAAGGCTTTACTAATTTTCACTGTGTTCAATAATGTATGAGACTGTGCAGTCCTTTACACAGCTTCAGAGACAACACACAGTGCTCACTGATCAATATTGCATTAAGAATCCTAGATCAGGGCCAGGCGTGGTGGCTCACGCCTATAATCCTAGCACTCTGGGAGGCTGAGGCTGGCGGATTGTTTGAGGTCAGGAGTTCAAAACCAGCCTGAGCAAGAGCAAGACCCTGTCTTTACTAAAAATAGAAAGAAATTAATTGGCCAACTAAAAATATATAGAAAAAATTAGCCGGGCATGGTGGCACATGCCTGTAGTCCCAGCTACTAGGGAGGCTGAAGCAGAAGTATTGCTTAAGCCCAGGAGTTTGAGGTTGCTGTGAGCTAGGCTGATGCCACGGCACTCTAGCCCAGGCAACACAGTGAGACTCTGTCTCAAAAAAAAAAATTTTAGATCAGTTGACAGAAAAATATGGATAGGTGTTCATTCTCACAAGAATCATAATATAATCTTGATCCCTATTTCTCATATCACTTTGAATTCTACTTAAGTTTACAAGTCTGTTTCTAAGTCTAGTTCTGCAGAGAAAACAGAGAATGTCTTAAATCATTACTGACTATACAAGAATGGTATTACTTACAACAGGTGGCATTTAGGCAGTCATAATGGATATTACTGCCTATGAGCTAAGAAACTACAGAAGAGAAGCAGCATATAAGAATGTCAAGGTAAACTTCATTAATTCTATACTTTTCTTAGTCTATGTTTCAATGTCTGAGTATTTTTGATGAGCCCTTAGAGACATAATTTAAATTTGTTTGAGCAGTCATTTTAATGATCAATCTTTTTTTTTTTTTAATTCTTGTCATTGGTTTCATGGTGGTTAGACAATTGACTACTTAACACTTACTCCGAGGTAAGTGTTAGGACTTTCATACATTTGTTGGTATTTCTTTCATTATCTACACTTTGTTCTTCCCTGCCCTATATTAGAGTCATTTACATATACAGTCTCCGCTATCCAACTGTAAGCTGTTTGAGGACAGTATCTATGTTTGACAATTTTTTCTCACCTGCCACCGTCTCCAGTACTAGTATATTAAATTCTTAAAGACAACAGTAAGCTCACAGTAAAACCTAATTGAATGATCTGGACCTTATGTTCCCTTCAGCCATAATGTTTTCTTTCTAACATATATAATGTATGACTGCATGAATGATACAGATTTACAAACATATTCAATAAATAAATATTCAGCTTGAGAAAACAGCACAAGTTCCTCTATGTGAGAACAGGTTGGGTTCCTAAAGGCTATTTTAAGTCCATTTGCTCATCAGTTGAAAGTGACATTCCACAAGGCTACAAACAATGAAATATGCACACCTGGGTAAAATTAAGTACTAAAGCACTCTAAATATTGGTGGTATTGCTTCTGACTCTTTTTGTCTCTTTCCATTATTAAAAATTTGACCCAAAAATATTTGCACTTTTGCTTTTTTATCACAACACATGCAGCACAAAACTGCTTCAGTAAAGCACATACACCATGGTCCAGCAATGCAATAGCCAAGACTAAAACGCCATGCTCATTGCCAAGACCATCTGTCACAGTGGGAAGACTGGCTGGCTTTGTCCTATAGCTTACCTTGCTGCTGTCTCTAAAAGCTCTTGAGCTAGAAATTTCTAAGGAAAGAAACACTTAAATACTCTTTTCCCAATGATGTGACTATGCTTAAAATTCTCTTAGCACTCCTAGCAGAGTTTCTCAAATATTTTGCTACATATTTGCAAAAATAGTAAAACCTCATCATTTTAAAGATATGATTTTTCAAAACAGATAAAAGTTATTCAGAGTTATGCACTTAGTCAATAAGTACATGAAATAAGTGTGTGGTTTAGCAAGTAAATATTTGAAATATAATACATTTAGAAAAATATCTTTTCATGGTCACATTTTAAATGTTTTAGAAATACAAAATCTTGGCCATCAGCAATTCAAGTACAGATAAGCATTAGAAAAATAAATACTGTAAAATAAATGTGAAAAGCACTCAAATGTCAAAAGCATAGAGTTCATGCTTTCTCTGTAGTTTTACTATCCATAATAGATTTAGTATTTGCTCATACAATTCAGCTTCCAACATTTTTCTTGCCTTCTATATATTTATAAGTACATGCTACTGAAGACAAAAACAAACACTAGCATTTTTGGTCTCTATCACACATGATTCCTACAAAGAAAATTTTGATTCAATTGCTGGTTTTCTTGCTCAAGATTGGAAAAGAATCTACCCACCTGTTACTTTATTCTACAAACACTGCTGTTAATTTTATTGTTCCACAAATCTCCAAATGCTTAGTCTCAGCTGTGCTAACATTAGCAGTCCAAGAAAGAAGAAAATGTTTGTTCTCAAGCTCCCAAAGTAGGAGAGCTCCACTCTAGCCTCTCTTCCCTACCTACTTTGTCATGTCCTCACTTTACTCCCACATTTTTGTCACAAATCAGCAAATCAGGCATATCATTATCAACATTATTATTACTACCAACAGCCATTAATACTACATATATTGCTGTAATGAGACCAACCGTATAAAACCAAAACTTGACAATCGGAGCACTGTAGAACTCATAGACCTTTCTAGTCCATGGAAGGCTCTGGGGCCCACTCTCTAAATCCAAGTGCTGATTTTCACTCAGCTTCTCATCAGGGCCCCTTTCCACATCACAGTCTTTCTGTAAAATAAACAAACTTATAATCATTTTTGATCAGCAGGTTAATTAAAATATTGATACGCAAAGACATCCAAAAATACAATAAATAGTATGTCAGAAGTTAATTGGGCATCCACCTGCCAAATTATAATCTTAGCTTTAAAGGCAAAGAAAACTCTATGTGTCATACAAATCTTTGGCCAGGTAAGGAGCACAGGGTATTTCTGACATGTAATCCGAGTCCCAAGTAATCATGCCCAAATTAAGAGTAGTTCCAAGGATTTAAAAATGATCCCCACTTCTGTTTAATCTCCTTTATCAGTAATTTTGGATTCTAAGGATACTCATAAAATCCCTGTGAACTCAGTCACAGATGATAGAATAATGTCCTTAATATAGAAGGACAAAAATGGACTGCAAGAATAAGGAAAGTCATGGGGAAGTCAGGCACAGGGCCAGGATTCCGGCCTTTGATAGCTTCCCCGCTTATTTATAGCAGAGGGTCTCACTGCCTGGAGTTCACGGGCTCTCTGAGCTTCCACAGTTCCTTGAACACTCTTCAAGCATATGCAAGTATTTGTGTTGTACATGCATTTTTCTAGGGAAAGAATCAAACCTTTCATCAGCTTCTCAAAAGTTATGTGTTGGTCCAAAAGTGTTAACCCTTATAGGTAATGAGCAATGAGTATATGAGTGGCCCAGCACAAGAGCTGCCTGAATGTAACTACACAAATGCCCACACAGAAAGGCTTTCAAAAAGAGGGAAAAAAGAAATGAAAAGAAAAGGAAAAAGCATGTATAGCCTGATTACCTTTGAGAAGGGGGAATATAAGAGTGGAGAAAGTGAAGCAAAAGAGATGTCACTCTCTACTTTATAAATTTCTGTATGGTTTTAATTTTTAATGGGAAATGCATTCAAAAGGGTTATACTTTTTTAAGAGAAATATTGGAAGAAAGGAAAGGAATGTTCTCTGCTGTCTCTCAAATGAGTCCATTTCTTCAACCTAGCCACAAAAGTTCTCTCTCTGGTGTTAGACCTGCAAGATGAGCAAGATCTTTCAAGCCCAGGAATGAATCAAATTTTGCTTGAATTGTCCATATAATTACAGGAAAATGTGATTTTTTTGAGGCCTCGGGCATCTAGATGGGTTATCATTGGTGCCTGATTGTTCAGTCATTTTACTTCACTTGTGGGCAGTGGGATCAGGGTTGTGACTTAGACTTGTAGGAACTGGCCCAGTTCCTAACAGGTTTGAACCAGCCTAGAGTCAAAATGGCTTAAAACCAATTAGAAAAGTCATCATTTACTGAGATTTTACGGATTTCAATACCACTTCAGAAAGACCCCAGAAAGTAATTTAAATAAGGACTTTGTTATTAAATAACTTCTCATTCGTTTTCTAGGAGTGTTTCATTAGATCTTAATTACTCTTGACAGTTTGGTGTGGATTATAAAGTACTGATAGAGCCTGGCTCTGACTTGAATTCAAAGACACCAACTGCTGTGATGAAGACAATGTGAGAATATAAATTCAGATTCAGAATTTATTTATTTTTCCTTAGAAGAAGGTAAAAACAAAAATTTTTGACTTAGCTAACATTTATTGCATTTAAATCTCTCCTGACCTTTCTTCTATCCTTTCTTCCTTCTCCCCTCCCTCTCCTCCTTTCTTTCCTTCTAAAAATAATCTGACACCAGCAGGTACACAGAATGAAATTATAACTACAGCAACCAACTTGATTATAATCTATGCTTGTTTTCCATTATATTACAGTCATTTTTCCTGTTTAATGATGCTGTTACAGAATAGATTAATTTTTTCATCACATGAATAAGACTGAGCTCATCTTCCCCCTTCCAGACCCGCTGCTTTCCCAGTTCTGCCTGTGTCCCTTCACAATGGCCTTGTTTCACCCACCAACCTCTCCATCATATTTGCTATGTCCCCCTTGTCCACACCCTGTGTCCAAAACCTATTTGAGGCCGGGCGCGGTGGCTCACGCCTATAATCCTAGCACTTTGGGAGGCCGAGGTGGGAGAATTGCTTAAGCTCAGGAGTTTGAGACCAGCCTGAGCAAGAGCAAGACCCCGTCTCTACTATAAATAGAAAGAAATTAGCCAAACAACTAAAAAATAGAAAAAATTAGCTGGGCACGGTGGTGCATGCCTGTAGTCCCAGCTACTCAGGAGGCTGAGGCAGGAGGATGGTTGGAGCTCAGGAGTTTGAGGTTGCTGTGAGCTAGGCTGACACCATGGCACTGTAGCCTGGGCAACAGAGTGAGACTCTGTCTCAAAAAAATAAATAAATAAAAATAAAAAAAAAGAAAAGAAGGAAGTCAGGGAAGGAAGGAGGAAGACAGAGAGGGAAAGGAGAGAACACATAAATACCCAAACAGAGGTGATAGTCAAAACATCTAACAACTGATCTGGCAGACGCAGTAACCAATCAGAATAGGTGCTCAATTGATCACAACAGATGCCAGCCTTAAAAAACTGATTATAATTATTAAGTAGTAGTTTTCATTTAATATTTACTAAATATGTTTTTAAATATTATAATAAGTACCTCATAAATGCAGAAGTACATCAGGTAAGCTGCTAGGTCAAGATGCTTCATTAAAGTCTTAAGTATCAAGAGAAGATGTGTATTATGCGTCACAGTAAATAACAACTTTATAAGCAATAGTCCAAGGTGAGACAAAAAGCAAAGAATATATTCACAGCATATTGGACATTTTGCAGTAAATATAAGCTCAAGTTACCCATGAAAGAGTACATAGCTAGAACTCAAGCAAAACTATTCATAGGCACTGGATATAAGAAAATGAAAAGATTTCTGGAGTAGCACAGTGAAGATGGACACAAATTCAAACCTGCATCTTCATTAAGAAAAAAGAGTTAAAGGAAATGAGACATTCCTCATTGTAGCTTTAGAGTCCATTTATTCTACTAATCACAAGGGAAAACAAAAGTTACACAGCCATCAATATAATAAAGTCTTTGATGTTGGCTTTGAAGCAGAAATGGAATATTTTATTTAATTATATAAGAGGGTTAATTAGGTCTATAGCGTATGTTATACCTGACCATAGTATAATATGATTAAGATTATGCAGAAGAGAAGTGCGATTGATGAGTCAAAGGCATTTTAGAATAATGTATAACCCCGGGGCCATCTGTCATCATTGGCCTGAAATAGTAGCAATGCAAATTTTTGTTTAACAGATTGCTATGTAAATAAACTTTAAAGACGTATATGTTTGTGTGTAGTCAATATCATGCAAATGTAATTCACTGTGATTTTGCACTAACCGCATAAGCGTTTTCTTTGGAACCGCTGGGGTTCTGGTCACCGGAATACCACGTAAACTGGAAGTCCTGACACTGGGGAACATGCGACATCTCGGCTTTGCTTTTAAATTCCAATGTCAAAATGGTGGGAGGTAAAAGAATACTCATAATGATCTGTTAAAAAAGAAAAAGAAAAAGAAGTAGCAGTGGTTACACAGGGATACACATTATGCAAATAATAAAACCAGAATTTAAGTGTATATAAAATGTGAGAGCCAACTCCGATTCAATGTATAGCCTGATTCTATACATGTTTTTCGAATCAGCTATCTCAGTTCTAGAAGTGAATCCCTAGAAAATACTCGTGAGCACAAGCATGTATGAGTAAGGATATTCACTGAAAGGTTATTCGTAAAAGCAGAAAAAAATAGTATCAACCTAAATGTCCAGCCAATATGGAACAACAAAACAGTGGAATACCATGCAACCATTAAAAACACAAGGGCAGGCTGGGCGCAGTGGCTCACGCCTGCAATACTAGCACTCTGGAAGGTGAACGCAGAAGGATCACTTGAGGCTAGGAGTTTGAGACCAGCCTGGATAATTGCAAAAAAATTTTAAAGTTAGCCAGGTGTGGTGGCGCATGCCTGCAGTACCAGCTACCCGGGAAGGAGGATCCCTTGTGCCCAGGAGTTTAAGGTTGCAGTGAGCTATGATGATACTACTACACTCTAGCCTGGGCAACAGAGCAAGTCCCTGTCTCAAAAAACAAACCCCACAAAGGCAATGTTGAAAATAATGAAAAGTTATCCATGCTGTATTGTGAAGTTAAAAAAAAAAAGCAAATTACAGACATTCCTTAGTAATTGAGGAGGATTAGTCTCCCCCAAAGATACCAAAATCTTAGCCATCCTTACATAAAATCTTAGGTATTCTTATAAAATCCCTTATATGAAATGGCTTAGTATTTGCATATAACCCATGCACATGCTCCTGTATATTTTAAATCATTTCTAAATTACTTACAATACCTAATGCAATGTAAACACTATGTACATAGTTGTTATTCTGTATTAGTTTCTTTATTTGTGTTGTTTTTTATTATTGTGTTATTTATTATTGAGTGTTTTCCCAAATATTTTTGATCCTTGGTTGATTAAATCCACAGATGTGGAATCCCTGGCTACGAAGGGCCAACTGTATAGAATATATAGTCATCCCATTTTTGTGAAAAAAAAATTAAAATTTTTAAAAAATATACTGGTATGCACATTTGCCTTTAAAAGTTTTAAAATATGTATACCACATCATTAGTATTTACCCCTAAGGGTACTGCAGCAGGGCAGTAAGAAATATTATTTTTTAGGGTCTCACTTTGTTACCCAGGCTGGTTCACCCAGTAATGCAGTAGTGCAATCATAGCTCACTGCAGCCTCGAACTCCTGGTTTCAAAGGATCCTCCTGCCTCCGCCTTCCAAATAACAAGGACTACACGTGCGCACCACCATGCCAGGCTAATTTTTTTTATTATTATTTTTTTAAAGACAGCATCTCACTATGTTGCCCATGCTGCTCTAGAACTCCTGGGCTCAACCAATTGATCCTCTCACCTCAGCCTCCCAAAAGAGCTGGAATTACAGGCATGAGCCACTGTGTCCAGCCAGAAGTATTATTTCCTAATGAGCACATTGCTTTAATAATTTTTAAAGCCATTAAGTAGGTATTACCACATAAAACACTTTAAAATTTATTCCTATTATAAAATCAAGAATATAAAAGCATACCAAGTGTCACCTTCTGGTAGTTCCATCTGCCATGCTACACAAATATTTTCTCTGCCAGTAAAACCCAAGGAAGGTATAGATCCAGACATCCACAGTTTTTTCATTATACTGCTTTCATTCATGAATTATTAACAGTCTTTTCAAAAGAATTTTTGTGTTCAATTTGTATGGCCTTTCAAGGTAAAGAGTTTAGAAGATTTACTAAATAAAATGCTCTGAAAATCAACTTCCTGATCACTACCTCTTTCAAGCTAATATTAGGCCTTAGCATTCTGGGATTCAGTGATCAAAAATAAAATTCAACCTGCTCTCTACCATTCATGATTAAATGCAGTAAACTGAAGTTATATTCTTGTCAACTTTCTTTTTTTGTTTGTTTTTTTTTTTTTTTCATGATGAAATGATCTTTTATCATTTTGTTTTTAAGCTTGATCTACTGTGAAGATATTCTGGACTTTCTCTAGTTCTAAAAGGAGTTTGTGTGTTTTCTTTTCAGATATAGAACCCAAAATACATGCACTCTTCCAGTTCTGGAAAAATCATAGTTACCAAGCACAATGATAATATTGCACAAATTAATTCCTAACCCACTTTCTGAAGAGGACTCACATTCTATCGTCCTTGTCCATGGCAGAACAATTGGCTTAGGAATACAGTACTCAATAGCATCAATATCCTATCTCCAAGGGAGAAGTTGGAGCCTACTAAATGAGTTCTCTCATCCACATAGCTCTACACAGTCTTTCTGTAGTCTGCATTCATTTGGAATTAGTTTTATTAGGAAATCTTACAATTATTCGTGAATGTGTTTCCAAAACCCCCAAGCCAGGCATTGATAAATTAGGATCTACGAGATCAGGAGAAAAATGGTTTACTATAGGTCAGAGTATACATTAAGTAGCTAAGTCAGCCTTTTGCCCTAAAACTCATTCCATGTTTTGGGGCAAAAACATTTAGTCTTACTTCACTTAAATTTTCTTTGGGGTAGGAAGTATATGAAGAACAAGAATTTGTTAAGTTCTCAGTAATAGGGATTTCTAGTAAACTAAAGTATGCACAGGACACAAACACGAAGAGAATTATTTCTACCAGCTCTCTATATGCCATCTCACTCCCAGAATATTTAAAAAGAGTTACTGCTTGAGTAACTAAACAGACGTGGACACATTCACATCTCTGCTTCATCATCTCCAAGGCTGAAATCAAAGCAGATCAAAGGAGAACTTCTTCTGAAAACAATCGTTGTTCCTCCAATTTTTGTTAAAGAGGAGTCTATGTGAAATAATGTTTGATTGACATTTTTTTTATTTCTATAATCTCACCAGTAGAAAATGTGCAAGGTCTTCTCTATATTGTATACCTTATATCTTTTATTTTTTGAGTTTTCTACACTGTGTCCACCAAAAATATATTTTTTAAAACAGTCATTCTATTTGGGACACATCATATTTTTAAGAATTCTAGAAAGAATAAAATTAAAATATAAAATAGAATCTTACATTCCTCTTAATATTTATGATTTATCTCCTTTTATTTGGTTTCATAAGCATATATACTTGTTAAGCTTGGCAATAACCTACAGTGTTAGGCTTAGGTTTGATGTTAAAGGTTAAATGTCCACAGTGGTCAACTAAATTACTCTTAATAATTTAAGATGAGACTGGGCACAGTGGCTCAGGCCTGTACTCCCAACACATTGGGAGGTCAAAGCAGGAGGATCACTTGAAGCCAGGAGTTTGAGACCAGCCTGAGCAACATAGCCAGACCCTATCTCTACAAAAATAAAAAAGTTAGCCTGGTATGGTGGGGCGTGCCAGCCACTTGGGAGGCTGAGGAAGGAGGATCAGGAGTTTGAGGTTGCAATGAGCTATGATAATACCACTGCACTCCATCCTGGATGACAGAGTGAAACCCTGTCTCTAAAAAATATGAAAAATAAAAAATAAGATGAGAGATGAGGCTGAGAATTTTCAGATCATTAGTGATGTGAACAAAAAATGTCTTTGAGGGCAGCCTTACGAAACAAGTCACTTATTTCCTGAAACAATACATTCCATGAGTAGAACAACAGAAAATTGCTCATTTTATCTAGTTTAGTATCTGTTTATTATCTGTATTCTTATGTTGAGAAAAATTTCACTAAAAAGTCTCATTTACTTTTTTTATAATTATCAGAATGAATGGCATTTAGTAATAACAAAATCTTGCATACGTTTGTACAGGTATATGCTTTTAACCACTGTCCCACGAGTATATCTTTGTGGTGGGCAGGGAAGTCACAATTATTCTCCATTTTTTAAAAGAAACTGGCAGTGGGAGATAAAGTACTTTTCACAGATTCTTCTAAGAAGGTCCCAGCTCATCTGTGAGAATCAAAGATATTAATTGGTTTTCCTGAAAATATACTCTGGAACAAGTAAAAAATGGAACTCAAGGGTACAGAATTTCACGCTAAACTGACATTAAAGTCCATAATGCAAGTAAATTTACCTTTAACCAAGAGTTTTTCCTCATTTTCAGGCGCCCCATCCACATGTCTGTCAGTAGCATTTGGGTGCAAGTATGTGAAACGAAGGGCCGCAACCCTCCGGACACGGCTAGTTTCAAGCAGGTGGAATTGCTCCAGTTCTTGAGTTCATATGTCAACAGCTTCATGGCCATTCGCTCATTCTGCTTGAACGCCTTCTCCAACAGGTCCAGGGCAAGCTGGCCAAACTGTCTGCAATGACACAGTGCCAAGTGGAGAAAACAAAGGCCAGTGAGAGGACTGCATTTTTAGAAACATTTTAGAACATGTAGGAAGATTCTAAAAGATTAGATGTGACACTCAGAAAACACTAATTGGTTAGGCTTTATTAAAAAAAAAAAAAAAAAAAAACTAGCCAACAGCTGAATAATCTTAGTTTGGAGAAATGGCATTGCTGCTCAGGAAATGGAACAGAACTCTGGGGTTTACACTGCGGCATACAGAGTTTAATTTACACCTGAGCTATTCCTGGGGAGAACCCACTCCACACTATACGACAACCTACACATCACTTGGTTTGGGACTCTCTGATAAGCCCTGATAAAAAATTGTTTTCCCAGAAAAAACTAGTCAGAACTATACCAGCAACAAGGAAAGTTGTAGAACCGCTTCTTTTGTTTTTTTTTTTAAACATTTCCCAAAATATACAGATGACTTAGCCTCAAGGGATTTTTCAGAAGGAAAATTTTCTCTGAAAAGCAGACACGGTCATTCTTTGAAATTTTTCAAATCAGAATTACAAATTAGTTTCCATTAACTCTAGCTTCCCTTCTTTCTTCATTGCTATAGCACTTTAGTAATTTTTTAAAAATCAAGAAGGATGTTTAACTTTTCAATCTTCCACCACTACTCTCTGGTTCTTTAATACAATGCATTTATTTGTTTTCCCACCTGAGAGATACTAAGAGAAAACAACAAATCTTAATTTAACTTAACATCAAGAAGTTTGAGAGTTGGCCAGGGGAGGTGGCTCACGCCCATAATCCTAACACTCTGGGAGGCCAAGTCGGGGATCACTTTTAGGTCAGGGTCTGCTTGAGGTCAGGGGTTCGAAACCAGACTGAGTGAAAATAAGAGCAAGACTCCTTCTCTATTAAAAATAGAAAAAATTAGCTGGGTGTGGTGGCGCATGCCTGTAGTCCCAGTTACTCAGGGGGCTGAGGCAGGAGGATCACTTGAGCCTAGGAGTTTAAGGTTGCTGTGAGCTAGGCTGACACCACAGCACTCTAGCCTGGACAACAGAGCCAGACTCTGTCTCAAAAAAAAAAAAAAAAAAAGAAGAAGAAGAAGTTTGAGAGGTTGAAGGGGGTGGGGGAGCAGTGGGGCTTTCAAAATCATTAGTTGAACATTTTATAGTTTGGCAACTAACGCCCAGAAATCTGGTCAACTGACTTGTCCAGTTAGTAAGCAGCTAGACTCCTGACCTCCTCTTTATTCACAAATCTCCTTGAAATACGCGGAGACTTTTTGAATAACGGATAGGCCCTACAATGCACGTCCGTAAGTCCGGTTGTCTTACAAGTTCTAAGGCGAGGGAGATAAAAGCGTCTAACCATTCTAAGAACTGTCGATGTTTAGCATGAACTGAAGAGAGAACTCCTACTTTGAGTAGTTTTTCAACTCTTCCGAGGCATCGTCCACCATGTGGCTCTCCTTGGCTTCGTGGGCCATGGCTCGGTAGAGGATGCAAGCAATCACCGCCTTCACCGTGGCCTCCTCTCCGTGCTGCCAGAAAAACATGGCCATCTTCTGCCTTTTCATCAGCACAGCCCAAACCAGCAGGTCGTTGTGAGGGTAAATGAAGCCAGTCGACTCGAGATCGTCTGATATATTTTGTCCTACTTCTGACTTCTTCCATGATTTATGAAGGACTGCAGACTTTTCCTGTTGGAAAATAAAATAGGACTTGAGTTTTCAAATACTCAGATGCATGATGTTTTACCTAATGCAACACAGCAGGTATCCTAGAGATATTTTTTCAAATCACTACTAAGAAAGAGATGGAAATCACAACAGGTCTTTGTAAGCCAGCATGCAAAATGTATACCTTTTTATGGTCATCTATTTCTTGTTGCATTGAACAGATCCAGAGTCCCTGAGCTGAGATAGCTTAAGTTCATTTAGCGCACTTTAAAGTGGTACCCCTTGGGGATAGACAAAGTAACTACATGACAACTTTCAATTTCTCACGGAAATGGAATTTTAAAAAAACAAACAAACAAAACTAGCCTGACCTTAGCAAATAGATTCGGTATCTTCTCTTTAGAAAAATGTTACCAGTGTTGCCAACATGCAACCAAATAGATTGGTTTTATGTTTCATTTCCTTTATTCTCTCTTAGTGAGAGTAACAGATGATAATTAAATAATATTCTCTACCTGGTAAGCCTACTCTTTATAGTTTTCATCTCAAAGGCCCTTGGCACCCCCATGTGCTCCTATATCACATTGGCTTTGTTTCTTTTTTAATTTTTATTTTTTTTAAAGCTAGTCAAGTGAAGCAGTGAGGAGTGGAGAAGGAACAAAGGAATCTGTAACTGGCTGTGATCAATTAGTTGTCAACACCACTGCACTTGGACCAGCCACTTCCTATATATCACTTTGTACGTCTCCATTTCAAAGCTCATCACACTGTACTATGGTTATTGCTTTGAGGAAGGTGGGACCATTTCTCACAGTACCGTATTATATCTTCTCCGGCCTACCCACCTCCCAAGTTGAACCAAGCACTCCTCAATATTATTCTTTTTAGTTTGAGGTGTCATAGCAAAAAAACTGTCATTGTTTTCCTCTAACTTTGTAATTAAAGGAATTTGTACTCATTGATGATGCCCAAGGGTGATTTTATAAAATACCCTTTCATCCCAGGAGCTATGGAAAGCAAACCTCTTTCAGGCTACACAGTAACCACTCACGTGGCCTGACGGGGCACAGGGCTCGGAGGAATAACAAGGCTGCATACGTGCACACACACACATACACACAGCATTGGCGTCATACTGTGATGTTTGGATAGGATTCATTTCAAGAAAGCCCCACAGGGGCAAAAAAGAAGATGCAAAAGGTCAGTTTGGGGCAGATGTGAAGGAGAAGGAAGCGGCCTTCACATGCAAAGCGCCTTAGGGAAAGCGCTTTGCATGTGATAAGGGTGTGGTGTTGGATTAGTGATCACATTTCTTTTGGTTCCGTCTCGTAGACTGCCTGCCTGAGTCACCGTCTGGACATGGCAGAGGTAGGAACCAGGAAGAGAGGCTGAAGTGCAAGCCCAGACAATCATTTAGTTGCCATGCCGTGTCCTGCACCATTGCTCCTTGTTGTTAGAGGACAGCTGTGTTGTGCTTTTGACTTGCACCACCTGTCGATGGCACCCGTACACGGTCCTTCTGTTTGCACCTTCCTTTCTCCAACATTAAGTGTAGACAGAGTCTCAACATGCAAAACCCACTTCCCTTTCAACTCTGAAAACAAGTAGTACCTTGAGCTTGTACGGCTGGGCAGTTCTAATGAACTGGGAATGCAATGCACTCTCCGTGGACTCGTTTCTGTTTCCTAAGTGGCGCTTTCGGTGCTGGGAAAGGTTTTGAGCAAAGCTGGTCATTCTCTGGCACATGTTGTTATTTTATTTTAAAATAAGACAAAAATGGGGAAAAGAAGATTACAGTGGTAATGACATTTTATTTCTAGACAACAGAGAAAACCAAATATAATGTGTCCTACCAAACATCCAAAGGCTCTCTCTGCTCCTCCTCTATGCTCAGCACCCAACAAGAACCTCTCATGAGCTCCTAATATGCACACTGTTATTTCCTAACATCGCAGAGAACACACGTTTTGTTCCCTATTATATATCTGCATTCCTTCTCTATGTGGAAATTCCATTAGAATCAATGGATGTTCTCTACCTGGAACAAGCTCAGAACAGGCAATAAAGATTTACTGTTCTGATAAGAAAAAGTTCCCATTCCTCAAAAGCTCCAAGATAAAGGTTAAGTTAGAAAGTTGTACAATTTCTCCAGGTGTTACATAATATATCCACTGGAGTTCCAATGGCTAGGCCCGGTAACAACATGAGTCATTGCTATCAGCATGAGGTTTTCATCAATGAGAAACAAAGACAAAAACAAGCATTTTTAGAGGAACTAATACAATCTATGATACAATCCATAGGCTTTGAATTGCTTTATTTATTTCTAGCTTATGCTTTATCTAAAAAGAATTGGACAAAGAAATAATACCAAATTATTATTATCATTGTAATAAAGAATTAATAGTATCATTATAGGAATAATTACAATGACTAACAGTTTCTCTATACTATGTATATCTAAGAATATAGATTTTTCAGGTATCATTTTATTTAACCTTTCCAATAGCTTTATGAAACAGATATTAACACTGCCATTTTGTAGATGAGGAAACACACTGAGAGGTTAAGTCTATTGCTCAAACTTACCCAGCTGCTAAAGAGCAAAATTAGGATTCAACCCCAGATCTTTCTTACTCCAAACCATGTGCTCATATCTATTAATACTATGATCTAGTTTACTATGAAACACAATAAACTCTTGACTCCCTTACTGGAAAAAAATCAGAGAAACAGATAATTTCACACTGATGGACCATTTCTGGAAATGGCACTAGGGAAACTTCCCTAGCAAGTCCCACCCACACTGGGCTGCACCAAGGCTTCCATCAGTCCTCGTACCTGCCACTGGGAATCTCACAGAGATGTGTATTTTGTTTAAATGAAGTAGCTGACACCGCCTCAGTTATATCCCTTTGCCTCGAAAATCTTAAGAATGAACATTTTCTGTGTGAGATTTGAGTTTCCTTTTGTTTTGTGTTGTTTTGTTTTTTTTAATCATCAAAGGCCAAGTTGGACTTTCACTTCACCTGATTCTTTATCAATAAGGATCCAAAGGAGCTTGGTATTCTAGGCTGTTTATGTGATCTTACCCCAAAATGCCTCTCCAGTCTCATCCCTCACAACCATCTGACACTTGTTCTCTGGTGACTAAAATCCCCTTGTCACTGCACAAACATATCCTGATGTCCAAGAGCTATGCCCTCATTGCTCCTGCTCTTCTCTCAGCAAAAATGCCCCAAACTACCTTTTCTAATGCTGAGATTATAGCATACAAGAAAATAATTTGTATTTTCTAATAAGAATGAGTCCCCTCAGGTTGCTGAGCTGTAAGGGTAATTTGAAGAAACAGGCAATTTTTCCCTGCAAATCTACCAACCAACAGCTCTAATTTTATATTCCTAGACTTTCAACACTATAATGGAAAATAAAATATGTATAATTTTTATTTTTAAATACATTCTGCATGCATCTTTCAGTGTATTCCTACATGTTTATCCCAGGATTCTCTTCTCCAGACTGCGGGCTATGTATGACGAGTTTATAGCTCTAATCCTATTAAGTTTTGACATCTGTATTTTCAAATGAAAGAAAAGAAAGGAACTAGCATCTCTCCTTAGTTCTAACCCATCTCATCATATTACTTCTATGTCCATATCGCTCATATTATATATCGCTTTGTATTATATTGTGGCTAGTTGCACAAATCTGTTTCTCCTAGGAATTTCTAAACTTCTGATCTTCAAGTTATCCTCAGCCCAGCATGGCAACACTTTGCATAGTACTTTACATACAGCAGAAAATAAATGTCCCTAAATAAAACTGCCCATTAAGACAGTATTCCCGTCTCAAATTCCCAAGCCATTTTTCTAAAACTACAATTCCTGAATTATTCTTAATTTTACTAGAGCAGTTTTCAATTATGCTACCTTATGCTTTCTGTAGAGGTGGTTGTAGAGGGCTCTGAAACTTTTCCTCGTGTAGCTGCTGCGATACGCTCTACCAATGAGGTATTCCACCACCAATCCGATGTCGATCAGTGTTATTCTGTAGCCTGAGAGAAGGGTATGCTGCAACAAGAACATGTAATGAATTATAACTTTTAGTTCTCGTTTTCTCTCTCTTTTGCCATGCCATTACAACACTACCAAATTAATTGCAAAGAGCTATACATACTGTTTAATCATCTTTACAAACGGATCAATTAATATGACCAACCATTAATACGATCTGCTTTTCAGAAGGCAAAAGATCTGGGCTTTAATATGTTTTTTATTTTCATAGACATTAAATGTGTGTTTACATCTGTGCACTCTTTCTCTCAAGCTCTCTCTCTTTCTCTCTCCTGCCCCCTATCATGCATACAAACATACACACACACACATTTGAATAAAATACATTTAAATATAGTTTTTAACTAGAAATAATATAAATACTACAACAGAAGTAAAATTATGAAGTATATACTGAATGTATGTGACCCAAAATTAACATTAGGTTAACTTTTCACCATCTCACCGTCTCTCTGTGATAAAATGGCCATAACACTCTGCATTGTGTTTACTACATTATATGTAAAACAAGAACACGGAAGGAAGCAGAACAAATAAAATTAGGAACATAGAATGACAGCACCAAAGGAGATACCAAAACATGAGGCTGTGCCAAGACAAATGTTACGGATGATAGGAGGAGAACTCAGTGGCAGATTTTTAAGTATATGAGTCTTAGTCTAAATGAAAATTATTTTACCCTTAGTAAACCTCACTTTACTACTGCTTCATAACTGTTCACTTCTGAATTGCTATTCACAGTAAATTTTTAAAGACATAGAGAGTGCTTAACAAGGTCTCTGAAACGAACAGACTGTGAAAAATGTTCACAAAGCTTGGAACAGGAAATAAGGTTAAATATATGAATGTAAATAATTTAATTTAATAATTTATTTTTTCAGGGAACATCAAAAATAAAATTCTTACGGTTGTTAGTTAAAAGCTATTTCATCACTTTTTTTTTTCAGTTTACTGCTATAGTGTTTAAGGAAATAATTTAAGGAAAATCACTTTGACGTAGCATACATCAATGCAAACTAAATTTACATCAGCATGGACACTTTTGCTCATGACTAATTTGCCAATTAAATGTCTTCCTTTCACTCTGACTCTCCCACCGAGTCAACATAACCAGAGAGTCCATATTCTTTCTAATAAGATATTAGACTTCAGAAAATGAGAGAAGAACTTTTAAAATGTGTCTTGGATGGATTGTAACTATAGTGACAAATAAAAAGCACTCCCAAACTTCTGGGGCTGTGAATACAAGTTATTGGTAACTAAGTGAGAAGAAATTAAGGTATAAAAGTCTGTTAAAATTGGGAGGTTTGGGTAAATAACAGGGGATCAAATGATTTTATCTTAAGCCTGACCTAACTCAAAGTTCAATGAGAATACCATAAGCAAAACATGAGCAAGGATATAGAACAGTGGAATCCACCCTGAGTCCCTAGAACAATGTTTAGACTCAGACTCACAAAAGCAAAAGAGTCCATGAGCTATCAGTTATATTTGAATCAACAACAATAAAACTAATGGAAATAACATATTAGTCCTTCAGTAAAGATAACAGAACCACAAAGTTCTTTATTTTTAGCTGATATTACTGTCGTTGACACCACTAGTGCATCATTCTGAGCTGAAATGTTGCCATGTCTCTGTTTCATGTTTTATCACCAGCTCATGTCACTTAATTGATAGATCAAATCTTTAAAACCATAAATTAAGGAAAAAAATATAAGAGTGAGCTTTGGTGGTGAAATTATTCAGAATCACAGGTAAAGAGGATAGGTAATTAACAAGAAAATCCAATTCCATATTTTATGAAGTAAAATCTGGTGACTACTCTATCACAAAGCTAAGGCGATATACAAAGATATTTTCACACCTTCATAATCAGGTTACCTGTTTTACATCTTGAACAAGATGATGCAAGAGCGTATTAGTAGGTCCTTGTTTCTGTGATAAAAACAAAATGAAAAATTACTCCCTTTAATTTCCATGTGCTGAAGAGGAAAAAAAAAAAACTTTCTTTCAGAATGCATAAGTAATCCAGAATACTGAACATTGTTTTTAACATCCTTAGTAATGAGGCTTAAGCCAATTAATTCTAAGGAAGGTGTTTCCCAAGAGAAGATGTAATTAGAGGAAATATTTTTCAAACCAAGATGTATATATGTAGATAGTAAGGACTCTATGTGGTAAGAAGCAGAAATAAATTTTAAATAATTTATAACTATCCTTTATCATATATAAATGTTATCATATAATTACAAATCCTATCATACAAGTACATTCCATCAACAGATATTTATTGAAAATTTACTATGTTCAATCAGGGACTCAATGACAAATCTTATACAAGCACTATTTTCCTGGAGTGTTTATTAAAATAGACAAAAGGGGGTACCTACACTAAAAATAACCAATAATAGGATGATATGTGGGCTCAAAAAGAGTTGCTAATAATTTGTACTCCAGGAACAGATCACTGTGAACTAACTGGAGTAATCCAAAAGATAGAACTTGAATAGATCCCTTGACAAAAAAGTAAGATTCAAAGGACAAGGAGAAATATTTCAAGAAGTGTGTGGCTTCCGCAATTGGTGTTTTCACAATGGGTAAGTTAGTCTAGTTTCAATAAAGGCTTTGCATAGGAAACACACAGGAACAGTATTTTAATAGTGGCCTTAGGTTGAGATACTTCCAATTACACAATAAAAAACAATTTGTTCTATTCACGTTTTTTTGTATTTAACTATGGCTTACTAGGATAAAATGGAATTGGTAAGAACGTTTTCTCCTTTGGTTAAAAACTCTGCCTCTCTCTAAACTATCTTTGTACATGAACATTCAAGGAAAAGGGTAAATCTTGAGCTAATCAGTAAATACACCTTAAGGGAAGTGACTGACAAAATCTTCCATACTCACTGTATTATAGAGCTCTTCCAGCCGAGGTATGGTAAGAAAGCGATGGAGATTCACTCCATATTCTATTAAGAGTTTCACAAAATCCACCCGATCCATCACTAAAGCATCTAACATTGCTTGTTCTAGCGCACCAGGCTTCAAAAGGTATAAATAAATAAGAGAGATAAAGAGAATTAAAGAAGTGGAAATAAGTAAAGAATTATACATGTTTGAACTCAAAACTACACAGGCATAATGATTATAAAATACAGTCTTACTAAGAAACATGCAGGATGTCTGAATAAATGTGAAGACATCTTGAATAAATCAAGAAACATTCCATGCTCTTGGACGAGAAAACTGACTATTGTAAAAGATTCCCAAATTTATGTACAGGCCTAATGTAATTTAATAAAAACCCAAGGTGGTGGTTGTTGTTATTGTTGTCGTTGTTACTCTTCTTCTTCTTCTTCATTTTTTGTTGTCATGTTTCCATCTAAACCATACCTGGCTTCTGGATATAAATGGCAAGTGGAACACATTCATCTAATTTTACTCCTTCCCAAAACTTCATTAAGACTACAGTGAATGGATTTTTTAAACAAAGAAATCCCCAAGGACAAGGAAAACAAGAGTGGGGACAAGAGTGCAACGTTTCAGAAGCTGTAAAGCAGATGATCAAGTTGCAATTGACTTATCAGTCCCCAGAAAGCCCAATAGGTGAAGTGGGAAATGTCAAAAACCAAGCTGGGCCTGGCACAGTGGCTCATGCCTGTAATCCTAGCACTTTGGGAAGCCAAGTGAGAGGACTGCTTGAGGCCAGGAGTTAGAGACCAGCCTGAGCAACATAGCGAGACCCCTGCCTCTACAAAACATAGAAAAATTAGCTGCGTGTGGTGGCATAGGCCTGTAGTCTCAGCTACTTAGGATGAGGAGGCAGGAGGATTGCTTGAGCCCAGATATTTGAGATTGCAGTGAGCTCTGATGACACCACTGCACTGTAACCCAGGCAATAGATTGAGACCCTGTCTCAAAAAAAAAAAAAAAAAAAAAAAAGAAAGAAAGAGAAAGAGAGACAGAGAAAGAAAGAACGAACCAAGCTGATCTATGCCACAGAATTCCAGCAGTACCAAAATGAAATAAATGTATACAGGCTGAATCCCTAATGTTGGTGCCTTCCCAGTATCTCCCCTGTTTAACTCCCATAACACCAGCAACAGGCTTGTACTTCCCTCTCGGGGATCAGAGGATTCTTTTCTGGTAACGTCATCAATACAAGGAAAAAGACATGAATACGCTGCTGACATCTGGGGGTCCCCCAATTAATGGAGGTCAGATCACCTTACTGTGAAGCTGACACCTATAGGCAGGCTCCAGCTACTGGCTTGGAATTTCTAATGAACTTTTTAGCCCCCACCCCTTAAACAAGAAGACCAAAACAGATCAAAAAGCATCTACTAGTAACAGGACACTACAGGAAAAACAAAACTTCAAAAGAGCTTTCACTAATATCCTCAAAGAAATAAAAGAAGATACTGTATTCTGGATGCTAATGAAAAAGGGGGAAGATACAATCAGAGAACAAATTTGCTCTTAGAAATTAATAGATTAACAGTATGCCACCAGAAAAGCAAACCTTCACAGAAGGCTTGAAAATTAAAGTTAAGGAAATCTGGCAAAGAAAAGATGTGGAATGTGATAAGTAGATAAAGAAAGATAAGAAACTAAGAAAAGATAAAATGAGAGGAGCAATCTGTAGGTGCAACATCCAAATAGGAATTACAGAAAGAGAAAGTTACAGCGAAAAGTTGAGCGAGTTATGAAACAGAATGGAATGAAATGGAAAAATGTGATTGCCCAGTTGAAATCATGTGCCCAGCACGATGCATATACAAAATCACAATACCTCCCATCATTGTAAAATCTCAGAACACTGCGAAAATAACATTTTTTAAAAAAAGAGAAAGGTCACAAAGGATCAGAAAACAATTTTTTTTTTTCAACAGCAATGCTGGGTGCTGGAAGCTAGGCATTTAAAATTCTACAAGAAAATTAATTATGATTGTAAATTTAAGTATAGCCAAACATGTTAAGTCCTCAAAAGATTTATCTCCCATACTTCCTGTTTTAGGAAGTTACTGAAGGATGTGCACCATCAAAATAAAGGGGTAAACCATTCAGCATAAGAATACTAGAAAAAAATAAATAAATAAAATAAAATAAAATAAAAAGGGGTAAACCAAGGAAGAGGAAGACATGAACACAGAAAACAGGCAGTCTAACACAGCAAAAAGGCAAAGGGAATCCCCAAGATAATGGAGGTAATTCCAGGATGATAGCTGAGTACCAGGACTACAAGGCAACCAGCCCACCTTATAGCTGTAACACCAAAATTTCTATTAACAAAACTGATGAATCAGAATACTGCAATATGACATTATAAAGAAATAAGATGTATAAATGTTAGAATAGTAAAAAAATGTCAAAAGTACTAGCTCTTGTGATAACTATCATCTTTTTTTAGTAGCCTTTTCATATCATTTGATGTTGTATAAACAATGTGCATGTATTCTATTTGACCAAAAACAATACACCAGTGGCAGTCACAACTGTAATCTGTAAAAATGAAATGTTAATAGCTATGATCATTATCATTGAGTAATCTTTCTCCTTTTTTGTTTTCACTTTCAACTGTATGTATTACATTTTAAAACAAAAAAAAAATGAGATAAATTTTCAGTTTTAAATAACAATATAAAAATCTACCCATTCAAAAATAAGTTAAAAATCGTTTCATTCTGTCTTCCCCCAAATTTCCTTTCTCAGCTTCAATTAGATTGCGGAGCCAGAGAAAAAAAATGTTTTCAGGGAGACAAAGAAAATAAGAAAAATGTCTTAGCTACCTCTAGGAGCCAGCTACAAAGGTGCTACCCCCACATCTCTGCCAAATCAATCTCTCTTCTAATTTTCTCTTTGCCCCTCCCTAACAAACACACCAAATATTTTTTCCAAATAACTTCATTTTCACTGTACCTTCCAGTGTTGTCCATAAATGAGGATATGTTTCTTGGCAATGTCCATTCTGTCCCAAGCCAATGCCAAATGTAATTGTTCTGATGCTGATAAATTTGTGCCTGGAGTAGAGAAACAATCACACGTTCTTTCAAAATATCTACACAAAAAACACAGAGTGCTGTGGAATGTGAGAAGAGGGGGTGGGGAACAATGGCAGCCCCATTCAGATACTCACCCTTCAGCAAAGCTGTCAGGATTGCTAAATCAAGGTCTTGCTGCTCTTCAGAATCAGCATCAAATATGGTAATCTACACCAGTTGAAAAAACAGAAAGGGATACATTTGGGGAACTACCAAAGAAATGCCTTCAAACAGTACCCAAAGAATTCACACTTGAGCTAATGAATTGAGGGAAACATACTTCATTTGGTAACGTCAAAACAACATAGACTTTAAAATGTTGTACTTATAGAAGAAAAAAGGTTTTATATAGGGTAACAAGGAATTGTGGGCACGTGGGGGAAAATAACTAAAAATTCCACGTAGACCAAAGGAAATACTTATGAAAAAAATGTTTACAAAAATTTACTATATATGTGCTACAATAGAAGAATCTCAATGATAATTTCTAATATAAATAAAATCATTCCTCCTTGTGAAGGGATACCAAACAAAATCCTTCTGTTTACCTAGCTTTAGAAACCAAGACTTTTGCTTTTTAATGAGAAATGAATTCTCAAGGGTTTGTCATGAAACTAGTGAGGCAATTACAATGGACCCAATAAGCAAGTACAAGGGACAACACCATGGTCTTCACAATGTCAAGTCAAATAAGGACTTTACTTATAGCTATAAAGGGTCACCTGATATTAACGAACGTATCTCAGTCTTTCCAAATTAAAATATATTTCAGGCCGGGTGCAGTGGCTTACGCCTGTAATCCTAGCACTCTGGGAGGCCGAGGCGGGCAGATTGCTCGAGGTCAGGAGTTCGAAACCAGCCTGAGCAAGAGCAAGACCTTGTCTTTACTAAAAATAGAAAGAAATTAATTGGCCAACTAATATATATAGAAAAAATTAGCTGGGCATGGTGGCACATGCCTGTAGTCCCAGCTACTCGGGAGGCTGAGGCAGGAGGATTGCTTGAGCCCAGGAGTCTGAGGTTGCTGTGAGCTAGGCTGATGCCACGGCACTCACTCTAGCCTGGGCAACAAAGCGAGACTGTCTCAAAAAAAATAAAAATAAAAATAAATAAAATATATTTCATGTAATAGAAAGATAATAGAAAGAGCTGGTTTAACAGAAAAGAACCAAGACTGGCAAGTCCTATTCCCAGTATGCCACTGACTAGCCAACCTTGGGTAAATATCTTAAGGCCACTCAACGAATCTCAGTTTCCTCACCCACAAAGTGAGAGAGACCTGCTGGATTTTCGCTAAGGTCCCATAAAGATATAAAACCTATGCTTCCACAACAATCAAACATTGGCTCCTCTCACCTGATACACCCTCCATGTGCCTGAATAAAATCAACCCTCCATGGTACAGGAGCTGAGAATGCAGTTACTGTGATGTGCAAACCCTCAGCTGCCTTCTCGACCCCTTAATCATTACACTGCTCCTTAATTACTCTCCTTGATGACAGGAAGAGGCAAACACAAAGGCAATCTCTTTAAAATGTGCTTTGCATAACTTACTGAGTAACGTGGGAAATACAAAGTGTAGTAGACCAAGAACTAGATTTTAACTCTGAGCTCCAGTTTTCAGCTCTACCAAGTGTTAACTGCATAACTGTGAACATCACAAACTCTCTAGCCTTGCGGCTTCAACATCTCTAAAACGGAATAAACAACCACTGCCATATTGAACTCACTCACGGGGCTATTTTGGGTGAAAGCTCACTGTTCATTGTAAACATGGTTGTTATTATTGTTGTTATTAGGTCAAATAAAATCCCAAAGGGTTTTTCACATACATTTTGTAATGCTTTCTATGGCCTGAACTTTTTCAATGTTTTTTTCAGGCTAGGTACTTAAATATTACCAAAATTCTTGCTTGATTTTATCTAACCTTCAAATTCTGGAAAGATTACTTTGAATCATGACGTATTTATGTATTACTATAATTTTCAGCATATGCAAGTCATTGATAGAAATTTTGACCACAGTACCCTAAAACACTGAAAACTGTTCCTGAGTTTACATTATGGTCATAACTTATAGCCATCTACAGGTTATCTATAAGGATGTGAGCTCCACCTTCTATCCCAGAGTTTATTCCTACATTGCCATTGTCCAACACGTTCCTAATGATCTCCTGCAGGATTTACTCAGGATGCCATGGTGCAGTCCACTAACCCAGGAGACTCTGAGTTGATTGACAACACAAAGCTGTCCCTTTACCCTCTGAAAATGATTATGTGTAACTTTCATTAAATTTGATAATTTTCTGCAATACTGCTATACTATTTTAACTGTTTTTCTCAGACAGAGCCTGGAATTTGAAGCATGAAGAGTGGAGTCAGACAGTAAGAAGCCAAGCTTACCAAATTAAAAATTTAAAAACCCATAAATGTCCCAATTGTAAATCATAAATCATAAATGTCCCAATTGTAAATGTCCCAATTGTAAATCAGTATTTTATAAATCAGCTGAGTCATCAACTCATCATACTCACACAATCCCTGTACACCATGCACTCCATTAGAATTTGGAAAAGGTGCTTAGACTGTTTAAGACTAAAGTTGAAAGTGTTCTGAATCATGCAGATGATCTTCTCCTTCACCTGAGGACGCAGTATCCTGAGAGAGAAATACATGGTCATGACTTGAGCGAAAGACCAAGCCAGCAACATCAGCACAAGAAGGCCCCCCTCCCGGTCCCACCCCAACTGAGAAGGTGTCTGAGGGTGGTTCTGCCAGGAAAGCAAATGAGCAGGAAGCAGATAGAAGCAGGAGCCCCAGGAGAAGGCTGAATTTGAAGGTGAGAGTGGGTTGATCTGTCACAACCCTGAAAAGAATTCACTCTGAGGCAGAGTTCTTGAGCTGATAGATTTCCGGAGGGCTGCAAAATCATAGACATCATATTGTTCAAGGCGCTCAAACTGCACAATGTTTAAGAACCACTCCTCGTGCAGGGTGACTTCAGGAAGGGGAATGGTGTGAACTAACAGGGAGAAGGGAGAGGGGAGAAGGTAGAAGTAGAGAGCTAAGGGGCTGTACAGGGAGAGAAATCCCAAGGAAAGAGACCCTAAGAAGTTGTTAGAACATGAACAATGAATAAATGTCTACTAAATTAATTAGTGGAGTCAGCATTTTAGTACTTAGGCACTGTATTTATTGACACAGTAGAAACATCTCACTTGTGAAACTGAAAGACTCACACTGGATATAGGGATGGCTAGAGAAAGAACTATCTTCTTATTTCAAAAAAGGGCAGAATTCAAGCCTGAAATAAGCACGATATGCCATGTAAATGCTGGGATACCGATTTCCCCAATTCCTCCTATTTTTACTAATGGCAAATGAACCTGAAGGGGACCTCTGGCCAGCACTGGTCTCCTCCGTCACTGCAGAGTTCTTTTTTTAATTATTATTTCGGAAATTATAAGGGTTCTTACGGCTGTCATGTCCAATTGTTTGAGCCCCTCCTTCCTCCTTCCCCCCAGAAATGCCTTTTTCTGAAGCTCAAGCACGGCTCAAACCTCCCTATTAAAGGCAGGCCATTATTCAGCTTAGAAAAATGGCAGCTCTCATCGTTGGAAGGCATTTTGGTGTTGATGAACAAATACAGAGCCGCTAAGAAATGAATTCCAGCTCCAATCTCTGTACTCCAAGGACACAGGCTCAGCTTAAAGAACTGAAACGGAGGACTAGTGGCACTAAAGTTTGAAAAAGGAAGAGGTGACAGCTCACCCTTCGTCTAAGTGTTTGTGGGTGAAGGCCAGGAGGTCCGCAGCCCTGCCTGTGCCTTCGCACACCACCACCGGGTCCTTGTCCTTGACGGTCTCCCACACTGCGAGGATGACATTGGGACCTCCTTCCACCACCAGCCTCACCACGGGCACGCCTTGTCCTGAACCTATTTCAGAACACAAACAATACCGTGCTGTTGTTACAAAGGATCCCTACCTCAGCCGGTCACCACTCAGATTTCCAGACACCAGTTTCTCAGTTGCCACATATGCCCGCTCCCCGCACTGAGTCCTCTTTCTCGCTTTACCCAGGCTTGCTTAGATTGGCACCATGCCAGGAGCTTGGATTTCAAATCACATGGAGGACCAATATGGTAAGAGCGCTTTCAACCTTTTGCCAGGTAGAAAGGTGGCTAACAGGCTTTTAGTAATTTAAAAAAATAAATAAATAAGTAGTCCTCAAGAACTGTCAACCTTTCATTGTAGGAAATTACAAAAGTATCTAAAAGTAAACAGAACAATATAATGCATCCTTGCATCAGAACCTGGGCGAGAAAGGAAGAAAAGCTTTTTAAAAATGTAAATAAATAAATAAAGGATTAAAAGTATATATAATGAATCCCAATGTGCTCATAGCTCATCTCCAAAGTTGATCAACCTTCACTGATTTAATAAACTTTTAGTGGTGGTTATTTCTAGGAATGAGCTCAGATAAGCAACCCTCAAAGATTTTTACATTTCCATTTGTTCCATTTTTCACTATTTAAATTTTTTATCATGACTAGATATTACTTTATTAAAACAAGGAAGACCAAAAAAAATAAAAAAGGAATGACTGAAGAGTCTTTTAAAAAAGATATTAAACAAAAAAGTTAGAGTAATATACATAGTATTATCCTATTTATTTTTAAGGCCATGTACATAGATATGAATTTTATATGTATGCACACACATAGGTATATTTATAGCCTGTTATATACATAACTGGAAAAGTCTGGAAGGATATACATCAAACTATGAACAGTGGAGAAGGGAGGGGAAGGCTTGGGAAATGTTTGTGTTTTTACACCACACATGTATTGATATATTACATTTAAATCACTATTTGTCCTTTTATTTTTCAAAAGAAAGAAAAATTAGCAAGCACTACACTCATCTTCAGCAAGAGTGGACTTTATTCTGGGCCCCATGTGCTCAGGGGCCCACTCTAGCCCTCCTCTGGCCATGCTCCTGCCCTCGTGGTGAGGAGTCCTGTGTCCCTACTTACTAGAGCGCCCAAGACACCAAAATCCCTGCTTCCAGGGTTTTCTTGTGCCTCTGCCCCACTGTGTCCTCCCCAAGGAAATACTTGCCAGAGTCAGCTGTGTGGGGCAGAGAGGTAGAGTTTTGACATATAGGCCTGAATGTCCAGGATACCTCATGTAAGTGAGACTCCCGGCATTGAAGGAGTAAGCAAAAGGTAGGAAGAGAAGCAGGGGCAGGCCACAGGGGAGAACCCAGGTATGAGCTGCCTCACCACCACGTTCTGGCTCAGTACTTCCAAAGTCCAAGAATTCCCAACTTAAATCTGGCCTTCCAGCCATCTGTGTCAAAATAAAAGGCTAGTACATATTCTATGCAGTTTTTAAGCTTGATTTATGGTATTTAAGTGTTAAGACATACTGCATTTGGGCTTCTATGCATATTCTTGTGTCAGACTCTCCAATGTGAGGGGTGGGTCTGTTAGCAGGCATCCACGGTATCAAGAAATACTCCACTGAGTCTATTTCAATGCTTTGATATTCTATTTCTTTTTCTTTTCCACATACCTCTACCTCCATATTATTTTCTCCAAATCTAAGATGTACCAAGTAATAGACATAGGTTTCTCTAATAATACAGTCTTATGAAATGGGGGAAATGGTATAAAAAGGCACAAAAGTACTGGAAGAGAATTTAGGTAAATATTTCATTAATGTTAGAATAGAAAAACTTTTATAAGAGAATTTCTTATATCCCATATAATGGAATATTATACAGGCATTAAAAATGTGCCACATTATACTTATTGACATGGAAATACACCCATGTTTACCGGGGAGAAATGACTTTAAAAGAAGCATGGCATGGCTGGGTATGGTGGTTCACACCTGTAGTCTCAGCACTGTGGGAGGCCAAGGCAGGAGGATTGCTTGAGCCCTGGACTTTGAGGCTGCAGCAAGCTATCACTGCACCATTCTAGACTGGGCAAGATGGTGAGACCTTGTGAGAAGAAGAAAGAAGAAAGAAGAAGAAGAGGAAGAGGAGGAAAAGGAGGAAGAGGAGGAGGAAGAGGAAGAAGAGGAAGAAGAAGAAGAAGGAGGAGGAGGAGGAGGAGGTAACAATGGTTAGTAACAATGGTTAGTTTTGATAGTGAGAGTATAGAGAACTATCTTTTTCTTCTCTTATATACTTTCTTCACTTTATCTGATTATGAAAGTATATAATAATTTTACCATCAGAAAAAGAAATCAATGGGAGCATTTTGCTGAAGAGGGGAAAAGAGAATTCAATTTCTATTAGGTACATTTTTCTTGAAGCCATAACTAATTCCCACAAAAGTAAATATAATTATGGCTGTGTTCTACAAAAAAGGATTTACTGATGCTACTAATAAAATATGTTTCAAAAGAAAAAAATTACAAAGTTCTTGCTGAGAAATCACACTAAAGAGCTGCCTCCACTGCAGGCTCCTGGATCGGCTTTGATACATAAGAATCTGGGGTTTGTTGGGGGCATTTTTCTTTTGTCTTCTCCTTCTTCTTTGTGTGTGTGTGGGAGGAACCCATATAAAAACATCAAACATCGTTTGATGTTTTTATATGGGTTCTCCTTAGAATAGTAAATGTTACCACTCCATTGGAATTGACTCCACATTCTTTCTCCACAGGCAGTGAAATTGTCCAGATAAATCCAAAACGTCAAGATCACTGAAGGTAGAAATGTCACCTACCGCTATAAGCCAGCTTGCATTCACACACACAAAAAAAGGTGCTCAGCAAGGAGTCAGAAAGACAGTGACACTCATGCTTCTCATGGACACACATTATAGTGCTGCGAACAACCCGAGCAAGGTAGGTGGTGAGCTCAGGTCAGCAGAGGCAACAGGACATTTCAAGTAACTAATATTTCAGGCTCCCAGCCAATCCCCCACTGCAGGAATTCTTCCTCAAGGTTGTTCTCTGACCACTCCTCCTTCCCTCTGCTGTTGGTCTCCCTTCCCCCCACGCACCTCTAGCCCACAAAGGACCACACACCTGATCTCTCTCTCCATGTTCTGACCTAAGTGAGCCTCAGAACCTTCATTCACACTGATCTCTAAGTGACTGGCGACAATTCCCAGAGTCCCTCCCGTCCCCATCCTTCCCCACAACCCTGACATGACCACTGTACCAAGGGAAGGAAAAAACAGACATTTGTTAAAGACATATGGTGACCCCTAACACTATTCTAGACACACCTAACATACTTCTTCTCAATTCTCACAACAAAAGTTACAGGTAGATAGTTCCTTCCATTTTGTAATAAGAAAATTGTTTGACAGATGTGGACGCCCTAGCGCAAGGTCGCGGGCAGTAAACAACAGAGCCTTAATCGGTCTGACCTCGCTACATTCCGCTGGGCAAGAGATTAAGGGCAAAAACTAAATAGCCTTTTGGACTTTTCACTTTTGCAACCTACACTCAAAAGTGGAAGATGACTTGAGCCTCCTGAGGGCATTCCCACTCCCTGGCCCTCTGCCCTAAAGGAATATTCTGTGGAAGATTTCATTCAGCACAAGAGGCTGAGGCCCACCGTCTTCTGCCTTGGACCAAAAGCCTCCCTTTTTCCATTCGGCACCCAGCCCCCTGCTCTCTGTAAAGGATTCCCCCCTCTCTGCCCAGTGGTGTGCACCAGTTCTGGGCCTCCCCTGCCCTCTCCCTCCTACAGACACTGCTACCAAAATGGCCTTCTCAACGCCTTCTCGAACCACTGTGAGCATGGCACAACCATGACAGCTCCCAAGGTTCCTATTCCTAAAAGCCCAGTCTGGTTTTAACCTCTTCCCTGTCTGGGAAACTCCACTCACACATGATGTGTCCTCTTCCCAGACCATCAAAATTCATCCCTTTACTCCCCTCAGTCTCCTCATCACTCTTCCTTTCCATTCCCACATGGAAAGCTCCCCTCCTCTCTCCCTCCATATATCCAACCCTAAGGGCTCTTCCAGGCTCCGCTAAAGTCCCCATCTTCCCATGATCCCTCAAAGATTTCTTCCTCCCTCTCTCTCGTCACCCACAAGTCTTCACCACCTTACATCCTGCTTTCTTCCAGCTGCAGGTTCCCACGTGTTAACTTAATCTCTCTGGCTGCTCTAAGACAGGGGCCAACTTGGGCTCGCTCTGCTCTGTGCAGGTGACAATGGAGCACCTCGCTCCTCAGCAGGCCCCCAACCAGACCTGCTGGCTGAGCCCTCCGGTACTCACGGCTGTGTATTTTCTGCAGGGAGAGGTACTTCTCCAGGTTCCTCCTGAGCTTCATCTCGTTTCCATACTTGCCCACAGTGCCGTCGTCAGAGAGGATGAAGTGAGAGTGCATGCTGTTGAGTGTGGTGAGCTTGCTGAGGGGGTTACCCAGAGTCTGGTACAGAAACACCACCTGAGGGACAGCAAGGACAAGAGAGCATCAGAGTTCAAGATCCTTCCCTCGGCTTCACTGCTCCAAGGGCCTGTCTCTATGCACTAACAGACTACCTGGCGGAAGGTAAAAAGTATTACTTGTTACTTAGGGCAGTGCTTCTCAAACTATCAGTGATGAAAGATCAGTTATTTTAATTTCCCATTTTTTATGGACCAATATGTGGTCCTACTATGCATAACTAGGAGTGTTGCTGAACTTGAGACTCACAAGTTCAACAACACCCTACATACCATGTTCAGCAAGATCAGCCCACTCGCCAAGAGATTGGGTGTCACAGCATGGTCACATTGCTAACAGTGGTTCTAAATATTTATTTTCCATTTCTGTATTTATTTTGTTTCAGGCTACTAAAAAACAGTTCAAGGACAAATGGCATTTCATTCAATACAAAACATCAAAACCTTTATTACATTTATGGGCATTTTCTTTCAGTGTTCCTACTCTTATTTGCTTTTAGAGGCAAGAGCACAATAGTCTGAGTCATAGAACCCAAGTTTGAGTCAAGGCTCTTTTATTTACTAGCTTTAACTCTGAGTAATTCCTGCCTCCTCTTTCAGGCTATTTTCCTAATGTATAAGGATAATGATGGCAATTCCTAGTCAGAGAGGTGCTGTGAGGCTTCAAATAAATAGTGCACGTAAAAAGCACTATGAATTTTACATACATTAGACTTTAAAAACTGCCTTTTAAAGTGACTTAAAAAGTGGCTTATGCCTGTAATCCTAACATTTTGGTAGGCTGAGGTGGGAGGACAGCTTGAAGCCAGGAGGTGAAGACCAGCCTAGGTAACATAGCAAGACCTTATCTCTACAAAAAACAGAAAAATTAGCCAGGCACAGTGGTGTGCCCCTGTAGTCCCAGCTACTTGGGAGGCTGAGGCAGGAGGATCACTTGAGCTCAGGAGCTTGAGGTTGCAGTGAGCTATGATAACACCACTACACTCCAGCCTGGGTGACAGAGTTAGACTCTATCTCAAAATAAATAAATAAATCTCTTTATAATTCTTAAGCATGACACTGAGGCCAGAAACCAAAAAGACAATGACTGATAGATTTAATACATATTTTGTATTTATGGAAAAATGATCATAAATAATATAAAATAAAAATTGTGAGAAATGCAGCATACTTGACAAACATTACTAGACTGAATTGTAATATAAAAGATCTTTCAAAGATAAGTATAAAAACCCTGCTTGAAAATGCACAAAAACCATGACAGGTCCAACCATGAGATATTGGACCTCACTTGCCATCAGAGAAATGTACATAGAACAATGAGGTATTATAATATTTTACACCTATGAGAATAGCAAAGTTTGAAGGAGCCAGAATACTCAGAACTAAATGGGCACCCACCCACATACCCTGTGGTAAGAATGTGAATTGTTTCTACCTTTCTGGAAGGCAATGTATTACATTTTTAAATGTGTATAGAGACTGTAAGCATTCCATTTTGAGAATTATTTCTAGGAAAATAAGCAAAGTAGTACTAAAGATTTATATATCTTATCATAATATCATTGTCTGAAAATGTGAAAAATGAAAAACCACCTAAATGGACAGTAACGGCAGAATTGCTGATTCCATTCTAGTATAGGAGAATACTATCGGTCATGAAAAATCAAAATGTACCCTTGGCCTCCAAATTGTGATCTCCTAATAGTATGTCCCACTAAAATCAACCAGCTATTTCTATAGGGAGCAAAAAATATACAAAATAAGCCGGAAATATTTCTTCATACTAAAACGCAAGAGGATTATGAAAAATGATGAATTGTGTAAAAGGGTTCAAGAGACAACTTGAAAATGCTCCACTGGCCAAAATGGGACAATTTGAGCATGATTACGAATAACTATATTGATTAATGGAGAAGAAGACCCCGTCTCTACTAAGAATAGAAAAATTAGCCGGAGTGGTGGTACAAGCCTGTAATCCCAGCTACTCTTGAGGCTGTGGAAGGAGAATTGCTTGTGCCCAGGAATTTGAAGCTACACGGAGCTATGATGAAGCCACTGCACTCTAGCTGGGGCTACAGAGTGAGAATTTGTCTCAAAATAATAATAATAATGATAATTTAATGAGGTATAATTTACATATAAAGTTCACTTATTTTTTTTAAATAAAAATAGACTAGGCATGGTGCCTCATGCTTGTAATCCTAGCACTCTGGGAGGCCAAGACAGGAGGAGGACTGCTTGAGCTCAAAAATTCAAGACCAGCCTGAGCATGAGCAAGACCCCACCTCTACTAAAAATTAGCCATGTGTGGTGTGGCGCATCCCTGTAGTCCCAGCTACTCGGGAGGCTAAGGCAAAAGGATCACTTGAGTCCAGGAGTTTGAGGTTGCTGTGAGCTAGGCTGACACCTCGGCACTCACTCTAGCCTGGGCAACAGAGCAAGACTCTGTCACTAATTAAATAAATAAAAATAAATAAAGTGACTCAAAAGAAAAGCAAGTCAAGATAGACATACAAACCCATAACAATGTACGGAACTTTTTTTAATAATGAAATCAAACAATTAAAAAATTATGAGACAATGAAAAACTTAACTCAACTGAATAGTTGACAACACTCAGGAATTACTATTAACTTTTTAGATATGATAACTGCATGACTGTTTAATTTTTAAATTATCCATATATATTTTAAAACTACTGAAATATTCATAAATGAAATCATTGGATGTCTCGAATTTGCTTCAAAATAATGAAGAGGAGGTTGATTAGGAAGGGAGAAGGGAAGAAGAAACAAAATTGGCTATGAGTTGATAACTGATGAAGCCAGGACATAGGTGCATAGGAAGGAATTCATTATTCTCATCTCTGTACTGTTTAACATGTTTGAAATTTTCCAAAATAAAAGTTAAAGTAAATCATATGCATGTCTATATTAATAGACATAGAGAAATAGCAATGTTAAATAGTTAAGCTTACAAAGCAAATTCATAACAATGTATTTCTGTTGTTAAATTTTTTTAAATACACATTTTTTAATTAGTCACATGCACGCATACATAGAAAAAATTCGGGAATGATACACACCAAAATATTAACAGTAGTTACCTTTTTTCTTTATACCTTTTCTAATATCTGATATTTTTTACCAGAAATTTATATTAGTCTTATAAATGGACAAGCATATTTCCTTTAAAAGAACTCAAACATAGGAACAAAGAGTCAATATACAAGAATGAAGTCGAGAGTAAAACAAGATGAGTGAAGAGAACTAGTGAAGGCAAACTTAAGAATATCCCTTGTTTCACTATGTGCAAACCATTGCAAGAACCTTGGCTATTATTCCAAGCAAGACAAGAGCCACTGAAAGATTTTGCACAGAGGAACAGCATGATCTGCTTTGTACTTCAGAAGAATCATTCTGGCTACTGTGTTTAGAATAGACTGTAATAGGAGTCAAAGGTAAGAGTAAGGAAGGTTATTACAATCATTCAGGCAACAGATGATGGTAGCTTGGACATGCTCAGGTACAGTGGAGGTCATGAGAAGAGGTCAGATTCTGGGTCTGTTTTAAAAGGGGAGCTGATAGTTTACTAGTGGATCTAGTTTGAGGCATGGGAACAAAGACATCATTCCAGGATTAGTCCAAGGTTTTTGGCTTGAACAACTACAAGGATGGGATTGTCATTTCCTAAGATAGGGTGAGGGAAGCAGTAGGAAGTCAGCAGTTAGTTTTGGATGTATTACATTTGTGACGTCCATTAGACATCCAAGCACAGTGTTAAGTCGGCAGTTTGGATACGTGTTCATTTCCTTTTGTTCTGAAAGGATTGTCTACTTACATCTTTTCCAACAAGATCTCTCTGGTTCTCAATGACTCCCCAAGGAGGGATTCCAACTGTCCAGATTTTCCTCAAGGACTGAGAGGAATGAGCTTTCAGGGCATCTCCAACATGCTTGGACACTCCTATGAACAAACAGTTTAAAAAATCAAACTTTAATTCAGAAATCATGCAAAACCCAGTGACTGCCAGAAAGCGACAAATAGACAAGTCTATGCAAAAGGCAATGCTAAGGGAAAGCTACTAGCATGTAGAATTAGTTTTTGCTATCTTGGCTTTCTCTTTTTTTTTCTCAACATCTCTTTCTCCTATCATTGACCTCTCTCTACCTGAACAATTCTCCTCTCACTTTGGGCAATTCCTGCCTACAAGCTCAGTTCTGCTCCCACTCTTGCCTAAGAAAGCTGTCCATCTGATTCAGCAAGCCCAGCCCTGCCATCATGAATGGTTTTCTTTCTAATTTTCTCCAATGTCCCAGCAAAACATCCTGCAGATAATGTTCCTTCCTTCATTAAGGCAGATGAATTTAATAGCTTTATATACACAAATATTCCAGAGCCAATATATTAAGGAGTAATACATTAATATTTGCTCTCCTGGGATTACTAATAATAACAATAATTACAGTAGCCAACACTTACTGCCACATAGATTTCAGTAAGTGTTGGCTACCTTTACATGTATTTACACTTTAAGTAGGAACTTTTCAAAGTCCATTTTATAAGCAAAATTTGTGGCACAGAGAGGTTAAATAAGTTGCTCAAGATTAGAGCTGGTAATTTGTAGAGCTTGCATTCCAGTCTAGGTAACCTGACTTAAAAAAAAAAAAAAAAAACAGTTTATTATTTAGAGCAGTTTTAGGTTCACAGCAAGACTGAATGGAAAGTACAGAGAGTTCCTATGCTACACCCTTGCCACCACACAGACACAGAGCTTCCCCGGTGCCAACATCACCCACCAGAGTGGTGCACATGTTACAATTAGTGAACTTGCATTGATGTATCACTACCCACCCACCTCCACCCCCAGAGTCCATAGTTCACATTAGGGCTCACTCCTGGGGTTGTACATTCTATGAGTTTTTGACAAATGTATAAAGATGTGCATCCACCACTGCAGTATCATTCAGAAGACTTTCACTGCCCTGAAATCCCCTGTACTACTCCTGTTCACCCTCCCTCCTCCCAGCCCCTGGCAATCATTGGTCTTTCTACTGTCTCCATGGTTTTGCCTTTTCCAAAATATCTACTATTTTGGAACATAATATTTCCAACATACTATAGTTGGAATCAAAGAGTGAGTAGCCTTTGAGATTGGCTTAATCTGAACTTTAGTCACAGCACTGCATCGTAAGACTTACTCTTCCTATGTAGAGTGTTGACTTCTATATGTGTCATTGGCAGAGGAAAAAAAAAACCTGCATATTGCATGTATTCGATGCTTGGTGCCTAAATCATCTGCTTTTCTCTGGCATCTTCCCCTCCAACCTATTTTCAAACCCTCTCCCAGAGTCAACTTTAGATATGGGTTGGGGACCACAGACACACATCAGTACCGAATGTAGAGCCATCCACCCTGATAGAGATGCTGATTCATAGGTTTGGCGTGGTTTGCCAGCATGGTTGCTGTTCGTGTGATCCCAATACAAATTGTATGTTGAGACTTCCTGTAAAACCCTATCCGACCATGTCATTCCCCTAACTCTTTCTCCTGTTCAAAATCCTTTCAGGGGTCCCTGCCACATAGAGAATAAAACCCCAGCATGGCACCCAATCTGGCTTCCATCCACTTTGCTTCCCCTGTCCCCTATCACAGGGTGCACACGCAAGCCAGGGGACCTCTCACTTCTTTTGACACAGGCCTTCATCTCCAGCTGTGTGGCTGGCCCTGAGGTCTTAGCGGAAGACCTCTTATTTTTACCCTTCCTTCTAGACCAACACCAAGTGCTATTTCCTTCCCCCAAGGTGACCTCCGCTGAAACTGGAATTCATCTCCCTCTTCCTTGTATTCCCAAGACTTCCTTTGCATTCCAGCTACAACCCAGGCAGCATCAATTTCTAGGTCGTTGCTTTTTGTCTCTTTGTCACAGCCCGCCCATTATTAACCCAGGGCTCACGTTACTCATGTCTCATCCCCACCACGTTTCCAGATGCTTTATACACAGTAGAGTCTTACAGCTCCGGCATTAGATTTAAGTAAATGGCAAAGATTCGTGCCAAATCAGGTTGAACTACGGTTAAGAAGCAACTCAAGAACAGCAGAGCTCTCCAACTCAAATGTGAGTAAGAAACATCTGGGAATGTTGGTAAAACGCAGATTCGGATTCTGCAGGTCTGGGCAGGGCCTGAGGTCTGTTTCCAGCAAGCTCCCAGGTGTGACTCTGATGCCGCTGGTCCGGGGACCGCTCCTTGAGGAGCCAAGCCGGAGAGGGCTTGTGATTGAATCAGGTCAGACTGACCATTGTTTAGGGGAGCTCCAAGTATTTCTCATTTCCCATTTCCTTTGTTATTTAGTAGTCACCTTTACACTACTGTATTTGTATTCCTTTAGGTTAGTTGGGCCTAACCTAAAATTAAAAAAAAAAAAGTATTAAGTAAAATAAAGCATGCAATCCAGTCGATATTCAAAGAGAAAGCCTTGCCCAAGTCTAGCTTTTCCTGAACTGTGCAAAACTTCCCCACCCCACCCCACTTCTTTACTGGAAATAAAATAAGTGCTATACAATGGACTTAGAACTCTGCCAACTTCAGTTTCTTCTAAGAATGTGAAATGATAATTATCTCTATAAAATATGCAGGATGAACTACCAGGCTACCCACTAGTGATAGGCCAGATCCTCTGGTTTTATTTTGCATTGTTTTTCAGTCATTTGCTTCCTTCACTCCTTTTCGGTCAAAAGAAATTGTTTGTTAAATCAGTACATGGTGCTAAAGGCTTAGGCAAATATCTAGGCCCTGGCCTCTAGCACATTACCAGGAAGGAAAACTAACTCACAGACCCTTCCTAACTTGTAAGGCACAATACAAACATTCTAAGTGCCACAGGCCATAAATACCATAGAAATTAAGAGACAAGCTGGGTGTAGTGGCATGTGCCTATAGTCCCAGCTACTCAGAAGGCTGAGGTGGGAGAATTGCTTGAGGCCAGGAGTTCAAGACTATCCTGGTCAACATAGTAAGACTCTGTCTCTAAAAATGAACAAATAAATAAATACTGAGAAAAAATTTTAAAAAGGGACAAAAGTAAGCAGCTCTAGTTGAGATACTCAGAGGCTGCTTCGTGGGTGTGTTGGCATCTAGTGTAGATCTTAAAGCAATGGGCAGAATTGGAGAGGACACATTGGCTAGGGCATGCCAAATCAAAGAGAGAAAAGTAAAGGGAAAGTAGAAAACCACAGGTTAGTGACAGATTGGTAAAAGACAAGGCTTTTTCGAGTCACTAGTTCTCAATGTTGGTGCACATCCAACAAGGTGGAGCCTGAAAGCTTCTGCTTCATCTAGGAGAGAGCCTGTATATATGCATGCTTTAAAAGCTCCCCAGGTGATTCTAATATGCAGATAGTTCATAAACACTGGAGCAAAAGAATAAGGTTCGGAGGCTACTATACACAGTTCTCAAATGTCAGATTTCAAGGAGTTTCGAGTCAGCGATAAATACAATGAGTGTGTTAGCAATCAAAAAAGAAAAACACATTATTTTTTTAGTTAAAGAAAATAAAACCCCAAAAAAATTATGATTCCCAAAACACTCAGTGTAAGTTTTGTGCACATCTCTGATTTCCCATGTCTAAGAACTTGACAGCGATCACGAGTTCAGCTCAAGTCTAAGTCCACAAACACTACACACTCACATGGATTCAATGCCCTATCTGACCCCCACCACAGTCTGAAGCTCAGGAAAAGATCATTTTCTTTGCCAGAAGTTTACCCAAGGTTATGTTAAAATAGTATATTTTGACAACCGTAAAAACACATTCCAGGAAAGGCCTATGATTCTTCTGAGTTTATTTTCCCGTCACTAGGTTTTTCATCTTTCTCCTTCCCAGCACCACATCTCCCGGGAGCCTTGCAGAGCAGAGATGAGGGGACACACCGCCTGCCTCACAGTTAGAAAGAGGGAACAAAAAGAAGCAAGAGAGCGAGCGAGCAGGAGGGCAGGCAGGTAGACAGACAGGAACACGCTTTACCGGTGTTGATGCCTTCGGTTACTATCCACGCTCCCGTCGTCTCTGCGGCTTTGACCAGACCTTGGCTGAAGATCCCTTTAAGCTTGGAGGGCATCTTAAAGTTCTGGATGCCCCCATGGACAGAGATCACCAGCTTGGGCAGTTCCATTTTCCATTCTTTCAACATTAAATGTAACAGATGATCCAATTTTGTATCATAAGAAGTTCTGATATACTGCAAAACACGAACATGCACGTGAACAGAAAATAATGAAAATAATGAAAAATATATACCAGGTACAGAAACAATGAGCACACAGCAGGGCAGCTGCAATGGCCAGGACCTGAGAGGAAGGGTCTGGGATCTCTTTAAAAGTTCATCTTCATGTAATAGAAATATTTACTTTTAAAAGATCCCACACCCCCTTTAAGTTCCTTCTGGGAATTACAAGTCACTGCAGGGAAGCTTCCTCTGGTTCTCAGGGCTGGCCCACCCGTGCTCTCTAGAAAGCCTCTGTTGAGGCAGAAACACTTCAAACGTCTGGCCAAAATCACTACATCAGCAAACCTCTTAATAAAAAGCCTTAAGAAACAAATGAAATGGGACTTTTCATATGTCTTTTCATTTACTTGGCCATTTCATATATTCACAAAATTTAAATTAAGGTTAAGAAGCACATATATGTTTTTATGAGGGAGGAATGAGGAGGCGGGTTCAATTTCCTTTTTTTTTTTTTTTGAGACAGAGTCTTACTCTGTCACCCAGGGTAGAACGTGCAGTGGCATCTGTCATAGCTCACTGCAACCTCAAACTCCTGGACTCAAGTGATCCTCCTGCCTCAGCCTCCCGAGTAGCTGGGACTACAGAGTACACAACCATACGCAGGGCTAATTTTTCTATTTTAGTAGATATGGGGTCTCACTCCTGCTCAGGATGGTCTTGAACTCCTAACCTCAAAAGACCCTCTGCCTTGGACTTCCAAAGTGCTGGAATTATAAGCATGAGCCACCATGCCCAGCCCATACATTTAATTTATTGTAAATTGTATCTTTTAATCATTCCTTTATACATTATTGCCCCTTTGGTGGCATTTTTTTCCCAAAATAAATACTTTTCATCAGTCAACTCTGAATAGTCAATGCGAAGAAAAAAGATGAGGAAAATCCAAACCAGCAGGTAGCCCCAGAATCATGTTCACTTTACCTAAGGTTATATGGCATTTCTGGCTTGCTCCCTCCAGCAAGTGCAGCCACATACAGATCTTTCAGATAATACTGAGAAGAGTTTACCTTCCTCAAGCATATGGGAACCAACAGCAAGAATAAGCCAGACTTATAGAAAGAGATACGGACAATAAGAAACCAGAAATTATAAAATTATACCAAAAACAACCGCAGGTGGAGATCTCCATCCACACACATAGGAATTATCAAATTATCCTCCAGAATATGATAGCAATTTAAAACAATTTGCCATTCATCCTTGAACTTCTTAATACATAATCCCTTTATTTCATAATTAAAATATTACAATTCCTGAACATTGGAATGGTGCTGCTATAGAAAAATGTGAATTGTGGGGGGGGGAGGGAAGGGAAAAAAAGGAAAATGTGAGTAATAGAAAGAATATAAGAATAATCAGGACTTGATTTACAAGTGGGGTAGCAGCTACCGTGGTTAGTAGGAAAAAAATACAATTTTTGTGAAATGGTTTATGTTGCTGCAAATAATGAATCAGGATGGAGGATCCAGCCCTTTAGTTCACCTTCTCTCTGACCCACTCTTTCTCCCAGGCACTCCTCTCCTTCCACTGTCAGTACTTTCAGTCCTAGAAGATATTTCTCCCTGAAATTGCAGGATAAACCACCTTGATGAACTAACTTATCAGCACTGGAGACTTTTCTCCCAAAGGCCAACTCGAAGACTATGCTAAAGAGTCAGTGACTCACTTTTTCCTCTATCTCCTTTATGACTAAAGGCCTTAGGCAGGATGTTCCTGGCAGAGCGTCACTGCAAGTCCTTGGTGGAATAAAGACCAGGAAAGGGGAATGCAGGAGAGGGAGATAAATAACCAGCTCTCAAGCTCACACCTGTAATCCCAGTACTTTGGGGAGCCCAAAAGTTTGAGACCAGCCTGAGTAACAGCGAGACCTCTGTCCCCACAAAAAAAAAGAAAAAAATTAGCCAGGTGTGTTGGTGAGCACCTGTAGTCTCAGCTATTCAGGAGGCTGAGGCAGGAGGATCGCTTGAGCCCAGAAGTTTGAGGCTGCAGTGAGCTATGATTGCACCACTGTACTCTACTCTGGGTGACAGAGCAAGATCCTGCCTCTAAAGAAAAAATAAAATAAAAAACAAAAAATCTTAATTAATAAATAAAATTTAAAAATAAATTATCAAAAAAAAAAAGAAGAAGAAAAGAAATGAGAGAGGCTCACTGGTATTGAGACATTTAGCTCTCCCTATCAAAAAAAGAAAACTAGGATCTGGTGATGTGCAAAAAATGATGAGTTATAACTGTTTTTAATAACTGGATGTTGTAAAATAGATGCTTTTTCAGTATTTTCATATTAGTTACCTCGGAAGATTGTGGGGTTTGGGAGGATATGAACAGGGAGAATTTCTGAAGAACAAAGTAAGTAAAATGAGGACTTTGTACTTCTTACATTTGCTTTGAACTTTAACAAAATGTTCAATAATTACTAAAAAGAAAGAAAAAAGAATTTGAGGAAAATGTGAAAGAGGTCAGCCAAGTAGAAACTCTCCCTACCCAAAGCCCCCTCCTTTTCTTGTTCCTCCCACATCTGTGAATGCTGTTTTCCTTTCCCCATGACTTGCTAAACTGGGGGTTCCAAACTTTTTTTTGCAAAAATAAATTTAATTTTGGTTCAATCCATAATATAAACTTCAGGCTATGTTCAAAATTAAGGAAATTTCACTTTCTTCCACTTACAAAAGAGAAAGGTAAAACCAGTTACATAGTTTAATATGCAAATCACTGCTAAAATTCATATTGCACTAAACGGTTGTTTTTGCTCCTAAGCATGGTATGCACACACATCACCTGTAAGGCATAAATCAAATACAATGCCGTGTGTGCATGAAGCATCTTCATTATCGAAATAAAATGTGATAGTAACATTAAAATGTAATGCTTTATAAACATTTCCACTGGTAGAAGCTCTTGCCAAATGCCCTTAGCCACTTACATGTCTAAGTACTGCAAGTAGTCTGTTATATTCAAATAATCACTCTCCATTTAAAAATCATTTTTAAAAAACTGGCCTTGTTAAGGTAAATGGCATGCACCTTTCACTCAGTCCATTCATGATGAGAGGAAACTGTCCCAAGTGTTTTAAACAGGGTGTCTAAAAGTTAAAAGGAATCTTATTTATCTAAGTCTTACCTGATTAAATTCTGGCAGACCTGGCATATTGGAGCACACCTAATTAAAGAAATAAAACCTCTGTTAGTTTACTGATGCATCTGAAAATGTATTTAATGCATATACAGTGAATATCTATTATTTTCCGTGGTCTAGAAATCAGAGTTTGCTGAATTTTCATTTATAATTTCCCAGATATTCTGTCATTTATCACATATATTTAATTGTACTGCAACAATTAGGATCTAATTAGTGGAACATTGAGTTTGGAAACAATACCTAGATTTGAATCTCATTGATTTTTTTTTTTATTTCGGCATATTATGGGGGTACAGATTTTAAGGTTTCAATAAATGCCCATTTCCCCCCCCAAAAGTCTGAGTCTCCATCATGACCATGCCCCAGATTTAACAATTCCTCTGGGCCCCCATTTTTACATCTGAAAATAATATCTTCCTCATAAGTTTATTAAGAGGATTATCTGAAATAATATATATAATGTGACTTATAGTACCCATACATTACAATGTGTGTAATAATAGCTATTGTTTTCTTTTTTTAGAGAGAGTCTTGCTATGATGCCCATGCTGGTCTTCAATTCCTGGCCTCAGGTAATCCTCCCACTTCAGCCTCCTGAGCCGTCTGCCTCAGTAGCTATTATTGTTATTAAACTATGATCATGACAAAAACTTCTTGATAAAAAAAAAAAAGAAGCAGAAAAAAATTAAAATTAAAAAATATAAAAAAAGAAAAAAAAAAAACCAGGAATCTGGCATGTGGTTCTAGAAACAAGAAAAAGAAGCAGAAAAAAATTAAAATTTAAAAAATAGAAAAAAAAGAAAAAAAAACTTCTTGATAATCAAGTAAGAAAAAATATGTATAAACAAGTTTAAAGCCATAAAACACTATCAAATCAATGGACAGTTGGTATGATTATAATGATTGCCTTGATTGATCTTTATTTTATGATTCAGAAGAACTTTCTGTATTTGGGGGTTAGCGTTGTAGTCATCAATGATAATATTTTCAATGCAAAGAATTGTAACAGGCAACTCTAGTTAAAATAATGGGAAAAGGGGTAGTGCTCATAAAATAAAGGTCACACTAAGTTATTCAGAAACTAATGTTCAGGCCTTTCACATCTTTCTGTCGCAGCCTTTTGGGAATGTCATTTCTCAGAAACTTTACTTCAACAAGTTGAAAATGCGAAGGAAAAAGATGTCATCATTAAGTCTATCAGATTTGTTTCTTATTGGGAGCTACAAGAAGAATCCACAAAAGAAATAAACTTTTATCAAAGACTATGACAGTGAACTATCACCCTTTTCCTGTCCATCATAATGAAGAAAACTGCACATGAGCTACAACTTGGGGAATCCTACTAGGATCTTAAAAAAAAAAAGGCTGGCATAGGAGGAAGAGCCATAGTCATCCATTAACTTTTTTTTACAATCCCACAAAAATGGAGACTGCTTTTTTCCCTGCATAAA